CGGAGAGGAAGGAAACGCTCAGGGATTTCAAAATGAGGCCAATGGTGACTTTAAAACAGTTACAGAGTTTAATGGCTGTGATAGGAGAAAACAGAGGATGGATCAACAACATTGTAGTTGCTGCACAATATGAACCTAAATGACAGAGTGAAAAGAAGGAAGCCTGTACAGAATTGAAATATTCCAAAATATGCATCCTGTTTGCAACAAGGCACAAAAGTAATACTGCAAAAAATGTGGCTAATCAATTAACTTTCTGTCCTGAATACAAAGTGTTATGTTTGGGGAAAATCCAATACAACACATTACTGAGTACCACCATCCATATTTCCAAGCATAGTGGTGGCTGCATCATGTTATGGGTATGCTTGTAATCATTAAGGACTGTGGAATTTTTCAGGATAAAAAAGAAACGGAATGGAGCTAAGCACAGGCAAAATCCTAGAGGAAAACCTGGTCTGCTTTCCACTAGACACTGGGAGATTAATTCACCTTTCATTGGACAATAACCTAAAACACAAGGCCAAATCTACAATGGAGTTGCTTACCAAGAAGACAGTGAATGTTCCTGAGTGACCGAGTTAAATTTTTGACTTAAATCTACTTGAAAATCTATGGCAAGACTTGAAAATGGTTGTATAGCAGTGATCAACTACCAACTTGACGGAGCTTGAAGAATTTTGAAAATAATAATGGGTAAATGTTGCATAATTCAGGTGTGGAAAGTTCTTAAAGACTTACCCAGAAAGACTCACAGCTGTAATCGCTGCCAATGGTGCTTCTACAAAGTATTGACTCAGGGGTGTGAATACTTATGTAAATGAGATTTCTGTATTTCATTTTCAAGAAGTTTGCCAAAATTAAAACATGTTTTCACATTTTCATTATGGGGTATTGTATGTAGATGGGTGAGATTTAAAAAAAATTTTTAGTACATTTTTGAATTCTGGCTGTAACACAACATAATGTGGAATAAGTCAAGGGGTATGAATACTTTCTGAAGGCACTGTATATATACACTACCGTTCAAAAGTTTGGGGTCACTTAGAAATGTCCTTGTTTTCGAAAGAAAAGCAATTTTTTTGTCCATTAAATAACATAAAATTGATCAGAAATACAGTGTAGACATTGTTAATGTTGTAAATGGCTATTGTAGTTGGAAATGGCTGATTTTTTATGGAATATCTACATAGGCGTACAGAGGCCCATTATCAGCAACCATCAGTCCTGTGTTCCAATGGCACGTTGTGTTTGCTAATCCAAGTTTTATCATTTTAAAAGGCTAATTGATCATTAGAAAACCCTTTTGGAATTATATTAGCACAGCTGAAAACTGGTGTACTGATTAAAGAAGAAGCAATAAAACTGGCCTTCTTGAGACTAGTTGAGTATCTGGAGCATCAGCAATTGTGGGTTCGATTTACAGGCTCAAAATGGCCAAAAACTAAGAGGAGTGGGAGGCCCCGGTGCACAACTGAGCAAGAGGACAAAGACATTAGAGTGTCTAGTTTGAGAAACAGATGCCTCACAGGTCCTCAACTGGCAGCTTCATTAAATAGTACCCGCAAAACACCAGTCTCAACGTCAACAGTGAAGAGGCGACTCCGGGATGCTGACCTTCCAGGCAGAGTTGCAAAGAAAAAGCCATATCTCAGACTGGCCAATAAAAAGAAAAGATTAAGATGGGCAGTCTGAGATATGGCTTTTTCTTTGCAACTCTGCCTAGAAGGTCAGCATCCCGGAGTCGCCTCTTCACTGTTATAATAATAATAATAATAATATGCCATTTAGCAGACGCTTTTATCCAAAGCGACTTACAGTCATGCGTGCATACATTTTTGTGTATGGGTGGTCCCGGGGCTCGAACCCACTACCTTGGCGTTACAAGCACCGTGCTCTACCAGCTGAGCTACAGAGGACCACACTGTTGACGTTGAGACTGGTGTTTTGTGGGTACTATTTAATGAAGCTGCCAGTTGAGGACCTGTAAGGCGCCTGTTTGTCAAACTAGACACTCTAATGTATTTGTCCTCTTGCTCAGTTGTGCACCGGGGCCTCCCACTCCTCTTTCTATTCTGGTTAGAGCCAGTTTGCGCTGTTCTGTGAAGGGAGTAGTACACAGCGTTGTACGAGATCTTCAGTTTCTTGGCAATTTCTCGCATGGAATAGCCTTCATTTCTCAGAACAAGAATAAACTGACGAGATTCAGAAGAAAGTTATTTGTTTCTGGCCATTTTGAGCCTGTAATCGAACCCACAATTGCTGATGCTCCAGATACTCAACTAGTCTCAAGAAGGCCAGTTTTATTGCTTCTTTAATCAGCACAACAGTTTTCAGCTATTTGGATTAGCAATCACAACGTGCCATTGGAACACAGGACTGGGCCTCTGTACGCCTATGTAGATATTCCATTAAAAATCAGCTGTTTCCAGCTACAATAGCTATTTACAACATTAACAATGTCTAAACTGTATTTCTGATCAATTTGATGTTATTTTAATGGACAACAAATTTGCTTTTCTTTCGAAAACAAGGACATTTCTAAGTGACCCCAAACTTTTGAACGGTAGTGTATATATACAGTACCAGTCAAAAGTTTGGACACACCTACTCATTCCATGGTTGTTCTTTATTTTTACTATTTTCTACATTGTAGAATAATAGGGAAGACATCAAAAGTATGAAATAACACATATGGAATCATGTAGTAACCAAAAAAGTGTTAAACAAATCAAAATCTATTTTATATTTGAGATTCTTCAAATAGCCACCCTTTGCCTTGATGAAAGTTTTGCAAACTCTTGGCATTCTCTCAACCAGCTTCATGAGGTAGTCACCTGGAATGCATTTCAATTAACAGGTGTGCCTTCTTAAAAGTTAATTTGTGGAGTTTCTTTCCTTCTTAATGCGTTTGAGCCAATCAGTTGTGTTGTGACACAAGGTAGGGTTGGTATACAGAAGATAGCCCTATTTGGTAAAAGACCAAGTCCATATTATGGCAAGAACAGCTCAAATAAGCTAAGAAAAACGACAGTCCATCATTACTTTAAGACATGAAGGTCAGTCAGTACGGAACATTTCAAGAACTTTGAAAGTTTCTTCAAGTGCAGTCGCACAAAACATCAAGCGCTATGATGAAACTGGCTCTCATGAGGACCACCACAGGAATGGAAGACCCAGAGTTACCTCTGCTGCAGAGGATAAGTTCATTAGAGTTACCAGCCTCAGAAATTGCAACCCAAATAAATGCTTCACAGAGTTCAAGTAACAGACACATCTCAACATCAACTGTTCAGAGGCGACTGTGTGAATCAGGCATTCATGGTCGAATTGCTGCAAAGAAACCACTACTAAAGGACACCAATAAGAAGAAGAGACCTGCTTGGGCCAAGAAACACGAGCAATGGACATTAGACCGGTGGAAATGTGTCCTTTTGTCTGGAGTCCAAATTGGAGAGTTTTGGTTCCAACCGCCTTGTCTTAGTGAGACGAGGTGTGGGTGAACGGATGATCTCGCATGTGTAGTTCACACCGTAAAGCATGGAGGAGGAGGTGTTATGGTGTGGGGGTGCTTGGCTGGTGACACTGTCTGTGATTTATTTAGAATTCAAGGCACACATAACCAGCATGGCTACCACAGCATTCTACAGCGATACGCCATCCCATTTGGTTTGGGCTTAGTGGGACTATCATTTGTTTTTCAACAGGACAATGGCCCATCACACCTCCAGGCTGTTTAAGGGCTATTTTACCAAGAAGGAGAGTGATGGAGTGCTGCTGCAGATGACCTGGCCTCCAAAATCCCCTGACCTCAACCCAATTGAGATGGTTTGGGATGAGTCGGACCGCAGAGTGAAGGAAAAGCAGCCAACAAATACTCAGCATATGTGGGAACTACTTCAAGACTGTTAGAAAAGCATTCCAGGTGAAGCTGGTTGAGAGAATGCCAAGAGTGTGCAAAGCTGTCATCAAGGCAAATGGTGGCAATTTGAAGAATTTGAAATATAAAATATATTTTTGATTTGTTTAACACTTTTTTCTTTACTACATGATTCCATATGAGTTATTTCATAGTTTTGATGTCTTCACAATTATTCTATAATGTAAAAAATAGTACAAAATAAAGAAAAACCCTTGAATGAGTAGGTGTGTCCAAACTTTTGACTGGTACTGTATATTTATACTTCGTCTCCGACATTGCTCGTCCTAATATATCTGTTTCTTAATTCCATTCTTTTACTTTGTTAGATTTGTGTGTATCGTTGTGTATTGTTATATATTATGCACTGTTGGCTCTAGGAACACAAGCATTTCGTTACACCCGCAATAACATCTGCTAAATTTGTGTATGCAACCAATAACATTTGATTTGATTTGATTATGAATTCCCACTTAGTTTTCTCTCTTGCTGGAATTAGCTTAAAGGAAAAAAGCCAGATTGGAAAGATAGCTTTTTTATTTGAAACAAGGATATAAAAAGCAGTTCTTTGATTCTGTCTTTCTCCGTCTCCGATATTTATTTTCATTGTTTGTCTGGGAATGTGGGCAACAGCAATCATTTCTGTTCATCCGGTGTCCTGAACGAGAAGGAATTTCATCTATAACCTTCTGAGGGCTGTTTTTATTTTTAAGGAGCGAGCTGGTAGGGGGAAAATAAAACAATGGAGCTATTCTCTGGTGCCCAATGCCCATGTGCCCAGTACAACCACCAGCCAGGACCATGTTTCTCTCTGCCAGGCTTGACTTGGCCAGTCTGTCACCACTCAGAGCCACCAGGGGCACAGTCAGTGCCAGTGTAGATATAGTTAAAGAGGTGCATTTGTCATGTCCTGATGTTAAACTGTGCCAAAGAAGGGCTCATTGCCAATGGCACATGCCGTGGGAAAGACTGTGGGGCTTCCCATTGTATATTTGAGCCTAAATCTATGTGAAATAAAATGGGTATTTTGTGTATTCAGAGAATATGTGTCATCTGACATTAGTCCTTTTGTGTATGTGTGTGTTCAGGGTGTGTGTGCGACCGCGGTGGATCAGTGCTGGAGTTGTGTGATGCGTCAGGGCGATGCATATGTCGTGATGGTGTGGAGGGTGAGAGATGTGACCGCTGTCGACCAGGACACCACTCATTCCCTAACTGCCAAGGTGAGAAACCTGTCTCCCACCTCCCTCTCACCTCCCTCTCACCTCCCTCTCACCAAACCACACCTCAAATAGCGTGTCTTCTGACATGTACCTTTGTGTGTGTTCAGAGTGTGTGTGCGACCGCGGTGGTTCGGTGCTGGAGATGTGTGATGCATCAGGGCGCTGCGTGTGTCGTGGAGGGGTGGAGGGCGAGAGATGTGACCGCTGTCGACCAGGCTACCACTCCTTTCCTAACTGCCAAGGTGAGAAACCTTTCCCTCTCATCAAACCACACCTCAAATAGATCAACATTTGTCATCCTCTTTGAAGTTAATTTTACACCAAAACATGACCCCACGAAAGTTCAAGTTGTTTTAAAATCACAGAGATCAACCTGTAGTAGACATTAATCTCTTTCCCACCACTTCATTTCACAGTGACAGTGTGCCGCTGTGACGGTGCAGGTGTGACTGACAGGGTCTGTGGGCCCAACGGACAGTGCCGTTGCCGTGTCAACTACTTCGGAAGGCAATGTGACCAGTGTGCCCCTGGTTACTATGGATACCCAGACTGTGCCTGTAGGAGTTTTAACCCTCTTGTTTTGGCCGCACCCATGGGAGGGCTACTGTATTGCAGACACTGATATGCCCACAGTGACCTTTCCATGACCTAGCTGTTGCTGCTGTTGGAAAAACTGATCTGTATAGTCTAACAGGGCTTAATGTAGCCTCCTCTTCAGCTCTGTAGAGCTACATACCTCGATTCTCCCACAATAACACGTCAATCCCAACACTCATTCACACTGATTTACCCCATAGAAATATAATCTATCTAATCTAGTCATTCTATTTCTATGCTTGACCCATGGTTGTTTGAACAAAACAATACACAGAAAGCAACGCCAAACTTGGGCTCATTCCAGTATTGAAAGGATTTAGTATGATCTGTGCCGTCAGAGACGGCTAAGCCATATCATTCTCACATGAGACATCTCACAGTCCCTCTTCGTGTCTCTCTCTCCCCAGCCTGCCAGTGTTTAGGGGAGGGTTCCTATGACCCCATGTGTAACCCAGTATCAGGCCAGTGTCTATGTCGCCCTGGGGTGGTGGGACAGCAGTGTGACCGTTGTGCCGGGTCAGGCCTCCGCTTCCCCCTGTGTTCAGGTAACCCCTCTGCCTCACTAGACACTTTATTTGATTTTTTACTATCCTTCAATATTTTTATGGTTTATTTAGACAGGTTAGAAGTAGAAGGGAAGGGTGGACACAGATATCGAACCCCTGGTCTCTGGGGTTAGGACATATGTGGTAGAAGCCGGATGTGTTCCCACAAGACCACAGGCTCTGTACTCTAGACACTTTCATTGGCTACCTGTAACCTAAACCGTCTTTATGATGTGGAGATAGAGGTGGTTCTAAGATATGGCATCCCCACGGGAGATGGTTCAATGGTTGATCATATATTAGGCTACAATGTCTCAATGTGGTTTATTCAATGTGTAAAATGTATTAGTGTGGAGATTGTTTTCATATCCATTCTAGTGGTACAGGTTTACTTCAAGTCTAGGCCTTGCTAACAAAGAACTGTTCTGTAAATGTATGCTTGGAGCATAGCTGTCTGTCCTCTGCATAAAATATGAATTTGGGTGATTGCTTTTGTGAGTGTACTGTATGTAACATATTATTACATAAGCACCCTTGTCCCTTGGTTACATTTGGTGCCCTGTTGATACATATAGAGCAGGAGGTCAGGAGCACACACCTGGTGTCCTAGGTCTAAATCATTCCCTGAATAGAGGGGAACAATGAAAATATTCAGTGGAACTGGCTTCGAGATCCAGAGTGGAGTTTGAGGGATATAGATTAATGTAAATGTTTTCCCCTCACCCTACGACATCGTCTCTTCCAGCCTCCATCACCCAGTGTAACCCAGCAGGGTCAGAGGTCAGCACAGCAGATCCACAAGCGGTATGTAGCTTATGCCTCCCACAACATGGCTGACTGAGAAATCTTTACTTTACTTTATGAGGTTTATTTGCCTTCCCCAACATGGCAAACTCTCAGCCTCTTTTATCTTGATCGTTTTAGTAGCTGAGGTAATGGGAGTACCTGCAGTCATAAAACAAGGGCCGGTGATCATCGGTTGGTGTGTTCACGTGTGTCTATTCCACAGGAGGTTGGTGGCAACTTAATTGGGGAGGATGGACTCATAGTAATGGCTGGAATGGAATTAATGGAATGGTATCTAACTCATCAAACACATGGGTTCCATGTGTTTGATACCATTCCATTCACTCCATTCCAGCCATTATTATGAGCCGTCCTCCCCTCAGCAGCCTCCTGTTGTCTATTCACATTCCTATATCTGATAACAGTATTGCCAAACCCTGTATCCGGTAATGTTTACAAGGATGTGTTTTTTTTAGTGCCCGCTGGAAATGACAATTAACTGTAATCAAAGAGGAAAAGCAACTTCCTTCCATAAAAAAAAAAAAAAACTAAACACGGCCCGGCTGTATCAATGCTCCAGAAACGCAGGATTTCCAGAAGCTGATTTGACCCTTTTTCTTCTTTGGGGGTTTGCTTTGTGTGAAATGTTTAGTTGGAAAGAAAACATCATTAACATTGTGAATAGTTTTTGAAACGTGTTACACAATTGGAACCATTGGATTTAGGTTAAGCGTTAAGGGTTTTGTTCCACATTAAAGCTACTTTTTAAACAGTGCTCGTCAATATGCTGTAAGTAAGTAAATAGCCTTGTCTGAGCCAGAACAGCCCATAGGATTGGAGCCTAGCTTGATACACAAGTACACTGGCCTGGACAGGACACTAGTCTGTGGCAGGGCCTTACACCAATCCGTCTCCTTAATGCTGAGTACCAAGCCAATGCTGTGTCTGCATGTGATGCTGAGTCAAATATCCATCTCTAAATCATTCCAATCTGTCTGCTTCATAACATACTGTTCCTGAGGCACCTCCAGTGCCAAAAGAAGGGACTGTTAGATTGTCTATGAGGGAAAAGCTTACTTGACATTTGCTGGCATTTGCGTTGACTCTTTTCTTCATTACTGTCTGTCTGTCTGTCTGTCTGTCTGTCTGTCTGTCTGTCTGTCTGTCTGTCTGTCTGTCTGTCTCTGTCTGTCTGTCTGTCTGTCTGTCTGTCTGTCTATGTGGGTCGTCCTGACACAGGGTTCCTGTGGCTGCCTGCCCAACGTGGAGGGAACACTGTGTGACATGTGTAAACCTCTCTACTGGAATCTGGCGACAGAGAACCCCAGCGGCTGTATAGGTGGGTGACCTACATATGACCCTAACTGACTAAAGCCTCGTCCCATTCTATGTGTTGTAGACCGTTTTTCTGTCGTTCATGAATAGAAGAGTTGGCTACAGCACATATGGTACGGAACGAGGGGCTAACATTACTTTATGGATATCTGCAGCATCAGACTACAGAAATTCTGATGTAAAATCAATATTTTATCCATCGCTAATTAGTCTGTTGGAAAATGACAATTTGATATACTTGGTAACAGTACAGGGTTTCTATGAGTTTCCCAGTCTGTTAAAACCTGAAAAGAAAGAAAAAGAGAGAAAAAAACTCCAATCCTCCCTCCAGAAATCTGGGTTGCACTGCACACCTGCGTGTGGAGAATGCAGCAATCAGCAGTGTTTTCAGCAGTATTAGATAACTGGTGTTATTAAACCTGCGGAGGCGCTGACATCAGAAACCACTCTGCCTCTTCATCCAGGTGACGTGGCAGCTTGTTCATGTCAGCAACAACTCTGTCTTTCTGTCCCTCCTAAGAATGTTTTGGGAAAACATGTTAACACCGAGCGCTCAAGGGAAAAGTGTGCTTCTCTTCTCTCGATGTGGTGCTGTGTTAACAGCAGTGTCTCTGAAACGTTGTGGTTCCATGAGGTAAATGCTATTTGATTGGAAAGGAGTACATCTTTGCCAGTGCAACAATAACCTCCCAGTCAAATAAAATAAAATAAAAATGTATTTGTCACATGCAACGAATACAACAGGTGTAGACCTTACCGTGAAATGCTTACTTACAATCCCTTAACCAACAATGCAGTTGAAGAAATAGAGTTAAGAAAATATTTACTAAATAAACTAAAGTACCATTTTTTATAAAAAGTAACACAATAAAATAACAATAACGAGGCTATATACAGGGGGTACCGGTACCGAGTCAATGTGTGGGGTTACAGGTTTGTCAAGGGAATTTGTACATAGGGGTAATGTGACTGCATAGATAGTAAACAGCGAGTAGCAGCAGTGTAAAAACAAAGGGTGGGGGGGGGGGGGGGGGGTCAATGTAAATAGTCCAGTTGGCCATTTTATTAATTGTTCAGCAGTTTTATGGCTTGGGGGTAGAAGCTGTTAAGGAGAAGTGGGATTGTGGGATACAGATGTCGGTTGAATGGGAAAAAAAGAAAAGGAGAATACCCCTTGCTTAAAAAGATATGTGCCCTAAAATCACCTCCCCCATCCTCATAATTCTACCATGTACAGAACTGACTCTCTCCTCAACCAGCCAGTGAGTGCAGTGTAGGAACAGCCGCAGGCTTTGTCCAGAGACCTGGCTAAAGTTACAGCTCTGCTCTGCAGCAAGAATGTTATCACCACCGCCTGCCTGCTGCTAGGAGATATATGGATGGAGGGAAGAAAGAAGAGCTTTTAATATTCCAGAAATTCCTCAGGTTTTAATGTGGCTGAATAGATACTGAGGGTTGTTCTCTGACGGAAAGAGAGAGCAGTGGCTCCCCTGGTCCTTTGATGTGGAAATGTGCAGCTCAGAAGATTGGCGTTTTTTGTTGCTTCTGTTTTTCACCCATGAAAGTGGTAGAATCCTGTAATCAGCGTCTATTCTCTCCATCTCTCTCTGCCCCCCCCCTCTCTATCTCTCTCTCACTCTTCGTCTTCCCTTTTACAGTGTTTGTTATTCTATCATTTCTCTGCTTTTGCGTTATTGTATGGTCATTGCATCACTGAATAATGAGTGACTCATTAGTTTCAAGTTGTATTATAGAGCAGACTTTCTCACTTTATACTTCCTATCTCTCTCCCAGAGTGTCGCTGTGACGTCAAAGGCACCCTGAGTGGGGTAGGAGAGTGTCAACAGGTGTGTCTGTCTACCTCTGTCTGTTCAAACTCTACTGCCTTATGATGCTGATACCTTATGTCCAGCACACCAGTACTAACTAATGGTAAATAATTTAACCATAAATGACTTACTGTTTAATTAGGAGGTCCATTTGTCTTGGATATATTCCTTTATTACGCTACTAAATCACAATTTACTTGGTAACATTCATCTATCACTAGCAGCTCCCCATTAACTGCAACATTATCTCCTATTGTAGAAAAGTGGCCAGTGTTACTGCAAGCCCAATGCGTGCAGCCATGCCTGTGACACATGCAAGGAGGGCTACTACCTGCTGCAGAAGAGGAACTATTTTGGCTGTCAAGGTGAGTCAGCTGACCCAACATGAACCAGACTGGCTTCCTATGAACACACAACCTTTATCTTATCCATCTAACTAATGTGTTGAGACTCAGCCTCTGGACATTTCACAGTGCAAGGTGTGCCTTTTTATCCTAAGACCGTCTCACTTGACCAAACATATTGTTTGAGTAATGGATACGTAATTAACATGTACCGTAGCAAACCTCGAGTCACGGCTTGACCGGCTTGATCAGTTATGGTTGTGTTTTAATCAGAAAGACCTCATTGACCTGCTGCCTCTCTCTGATAGGCTGCCAGTGTGATGCGGGGGGGGCCATAGGCAGAGGGTGTGATGAGATATCTGGACAGTGCCAGTGTCGGAAGAACGTAGTGGGCCGCACCTGCACTGAGTAAGGACTGACTGAAACTAAACACACAATGACATGTTTTATTGCTGCTCAAGTTCTCACATGAATTGGAGCAAATGTTGTTAAATACTGATGAATGGCAAGAAACAAACAGAAAATCCTAAAACCTAAGAGATTTCATGCATTCTAAATGCATTCTAAATCAAGACTGCCATGATTTATGTTCCAAACATATGAAACATTCTTACTTTCTCTCCTTCCACCCCTTCTCGCCACTCCTGTCTGACCATACCAGGCCAGCACCTAACTACTACTTCCCCAGCCTGCACCACCTGAGGTATGAGGTGGAGGATGGCATCACCCCCAACGCCAGGCCCGTACGCTTTGGCTACGACCCCCAGGAGTTCCCAGGATTCAGCTGGAGAGGTTACGCCATCATGTCCCCAGCGCAGGTAAGACACATGATGATATTGATAGGTGGACCTTAAATCTGTGCCTGCCTGACCTGCCTGACATCTCACTTTTTTAGTAGTGGCTTTTTTCCTTCTGCTCGAAGCCTAATTTTTGGTGTACATTCTTTGTAGAAGTGTTAGATGCTTCTACAAGCATTTCTTATAATGAATATGCTTGGTGCTTCCTTGGTGAATGTGTTCAGTCTGGTGGTAGTGGATGGTGTTGGGTTTTGTGGTGATTGTTGTGGTGATAGTGTTTTTCTTTTGAGTGTGTTGTTGGCTGTAGCTCTCTAAAGTAGCAGGCCACTCTTCCAGTCAGTCCTAACCCTGGGTGTGTCTGAAAAGGCACCCTCCCTATATAGTGCACTGCGTTTGACAAGGCTCTGGTCAAACGTAGTGCACTATATAGGGAATAAGGTGCCACCCCTGTTTCTCCTCAGCCAGAGGTGATCCTATCGTTAGCTGTGGGTTTCCCCGGCCCCTTCCACATAATGGTTCGCTACGTCACCCTTACCCCCCTCAGGCCCACACAGGGGCGGCGGCACAGGGGACGAGTCCGAGCCAGGATTTTGGTGGTGGACGAGCCTGATTTTCACTCTTGCTGTGACTGTAAGTGATGGGGTGTTTCCCCTCTGCTGCCTGGCTAGCTCGGCTATAGCCTGATCCCGGATCTGTTTGTGCTGTCTTGCCTACTCTTGTGGTCATGGGACCAGGCTAGCTCTGCTCTCCTCTGTTGATCAGCTTACTGCTTCCTCTTCCCTTTCTAACCCCCTTCTATCCCTCTACCTGTCTACCAGCATGGCCTTCTAGTCTACTAACTGTATAACAGTACCCCCCCCCCCCCCCCCGACCATCACCACCATCCTGCAACCCCCCCCCCTCCATCAGCTGTGTCTGTCTAACTCCTGTCCCTGCAGAGTGAAGTGAGAGTAACAGTGCATGTGGACGAGGCAAGGCGATCCTTGTTCCGACTTGTCCTGCGGTACGCTAATCCCAGCAGCCAGGACAGTGTGACTGGTAGTGTAACAGCTACCTATGCCCGAGGTGGCCAAGGTAAGGCTGCCTCTCTAACTCCTGCTTCACACATCATCATATTCATCTCCTAACAATCAAACAGAAAGAGTTTTATCTCTCATACACCCCTCAAAAACACGGATACATGGATACATTTACAGTATAGGCTGTAAAAGTGTTTGAGCTTTCATTCAAGTCTTTCCTTGATCCTTGATCCTTGATCTTTTGTTTGGCAATACATTACTAAAGGGATGGGCAACTTGAGTCCTTGGGGGCCGGAGTGGTGTCACACTTTTTCCCCATCCCTAGCAAACATAGCTGATTAAACTAATTGCACGTTCTAATCTGAAGATTAGTATTAGTTGATTATTGGAGTCAGGTGAGTTAGCTGGGACATTGACAAAAGTGTGACACCAATCAGGCCTCTGAGGACTGGCATTGCCTATCCCTGCATTACTACCTTGAAATGGCATGGGGTGCCTAATCACACCATTGATGATATACCTCGGGCCCTCCCCAGACGTTCCACATTTTAGTTTTTTACCCTAAACTAGCACACCTGATTCAATTAGTCAAAATCTTGGTGATTAGTTAACTAATTGAATCAGGTGTGCCCGAGGAGAGAGTTGGGAAACCCTGCCTTCAACTACATGAATACATGTCAACCTGTGTGCTGGTAGCTGTAAGGTGTTGCTGTATTTAGCTGTATCCTGATTGGTTGATTGATTGATTGATTGAATTATTAATTCATTGATTGGTTGATTGTATCCTGCAGGGTCAGGTCAGAGTAAAGAGGTGGTGTTTCCTTATAGCTCCTCCCCTGCCTACCTCACAGTCCCTGGGGACGGCTTCGCTGAGCCCTTCACACTGACCCCTGGGAAATGGATCATACGCATCCGGGCAGAGGGCCTTCTACTGGTGAGGCCAGGATTATTAGTCTGATAACATCTGTCAGTGACCGAAGAGAAAAAAAGGATGCAAAAAGGTAGAGGAATAGGTCATAAATGTGTTCTTCTCTCTCTCTGCTCTCCACCGCCCTCCCAGGACTACTTGGTGCTGCTGCCCAGTGATTACTACGAGGCTCCCCTCCTCCAGGAGAAGATCACCCAGCCCTGCACGTACACATTCACCGCAGACAGAGACACAAAGTAATCCCTGTGTTCCCCAAATGCTCTTTACCATGCCATACTGTTCTGTCATGTGCAGGTTGGCCCCAGACAGTGTACCTGTTCAATGTATGGACTCTACATATATGTACATGTATACTGTGACCGCTGTTGTGTTCATCTCCCCTGTGTTTTCCTATAGTCTGTGCAAGTTTGTTTTGTTTAAATGCATGTTATCCCCAGACTCTGACCACTGTTGTGTCTGTCCCTCCCTCCCTCCCTCCAGCTGTCTGCTTTATAAGCACGTGGCGATGAACAGGTTCAGCTCTGTGCTGGGCTCTCAGGGCCAGTTCTCCAGCCAGAGGAGACGCAGGAGGAGACAGGCCCGCGTCCGCCGGCCAACTCCAGACCACCCCGAGATGGCCTCTCTCACCAGGAGACAGGTGGGTCTAGGTCTGGGGCTCTGCTAAGGCCTCGCTCACATACGCACGCACAATCAAACACACACACACACTCAGATGCGCTCACAAACATAGTTTATTGCCTCTGATTGTGATGGTTTATGGCTAAAAGTAAGTATTTTATAGTTTGCCAGTAAATGCATAGTGTGACTCTGAGACGCTGCATCTGAGCTCCCCCTTGTCTGTGTGTGTGTCCTTTAGGCCCAGTTACAGCTGAGCCTGCGTGTGTCTCGACCCGGTCCCTACATCCTGTTCCTGGAATATGCCAGCGAGGTAGACATGATCCAGAACGTCAACCTCATCCTTACTGGCCAATCAGAGAGCCATATCCAGGCCAGAGCCAACATCTACAGCTGCCAATACAGGTTTGTGTGTGTACTGTATGTTTGGTGAGAGTGCAATGTTTAATTCCTGTCCTTCTTCAATAGTGTTTATATAGTTTGTACTCGAGAGGCAGTGTTGGCAAGTCATTTGTGTGCATTTTGTGTAATAAACCTGTTTTAATGCAGCTCTCCAGCTCTATAATGAAATTGATCATTGAGGGTGTTTACCCAATACTTGTCCTTGCAGCTTCCTTTGTCGGAGTGTGGCGGTTGACGGAACTAATCGTGTTGCAGTGTTCCAGCTTACCCACAAGGCTGTGCTTCTTCTCCAGACCTCCACAGCATCAATGCTGCTGGTGAGAAAGAACCCTTTTATTCCATTGCATAACAGTAAGATCCTCACGTATGCAACCTCTTCTGCTTTGTCGTCCTTTTTTATATTGTAGTGTGGAGGGTAGCGACTACCGATACCTACTGTATATAAGTGAGTTTATGTTAAAATGAAATACTTCTATTTCCTGTCGCCGTTTTGACTTTCTATTTCTCTCTAGTATAAAGTGTATGCAGTGCCTGCGGAGGAGTTCTCCATGGAGTATCTGGACCCCAAGGTGCTCTGTGTCTCTGTCCATGGGCGCTTCACTGAGGACCGGTAAGCCATTTGACCTAATAATACTATGTTGTAATGCCAGGAGACTTCTTCAAACACTCTCTAAAATAGACAGCTGGTGCTTTTGACAACTAGTAATCAGCAGCAATGAGCAAACAGGGCAGTAATAGTAGTGGCTGTATTTTACAGGTAGAGGGCTTGTTGTGCAATCAGTAGCATTGTCTCTGGGGGTAGATGCTAGCTGTTGTTGTGGGGATACTTACCTTCCACACATCTGTTTTCCAGGTGTGATTCCATGCATTCCTCAGCCAGGGGCCAGGGTCACTTACTTGAGGCTGTCTGATCTCTAGGCCAACCTCTCCTCTCTGCTCCACCTAGCACACCTGGGTTCAACTAGTACTTGTTTCCTTCCAAATACTTAAAGCTGGGCTTGATTGAGCTTGCCTGACGCAATGGAACCAATGGAATAGTCTGAAAAGTGCTAATTTGTACTCTGGGCAGGCATAATCAAACCTTCAAAGTATATGAAACAAAACAAATCATATTTGAACCCAGGTCTGACAGCCAGTGACCACGCCAGAATTTACTGCCATGGTTGCTGCTGATGACTAGCTGTCAGCAGCACCAGTCCTGTTATTATACAGCTGGTTTTTACAGGCTGTTTTTCCACCACTTTCAGTGTAAACTGACTGCCTGCCTGGCTCCACTATTATTGAAGGCAATGAGCAAGTTCATATCTCACGGAAAATAAGCTGTGAAAGTGAAGGAAAACCCCTCTTGTCAAGACATTTGAAGTTGTTTGATGGTGATGGTTTATGCACATTACAAAAGGCCTTTCCTTTCATGTTGTTCTGCTGTTTCCACAAAACAAAATGAGGAGGGAATGCATGAACAGATCAGCCCCAGATCAGCCTTACAAAACAAATAGCTTGTCATGTGTTGATTGATAAGGACTTAAAACTGAGAAAAGCAAGAGTGAGGTTTTGACACGCATGACTGTAAGTTGCTTTGGATAAAAGCGTCTGCTAAATGGCTTATTATTATAATTATATTATTGACTCAGAGGGATGTGTTTTTGAGACTGTGAAATTAGTCTTTGTTAGTCAGTGAGAGAGGATGAAAGGGAACGAGAAAGAGAGAAAGCGAGAGTTAAGGGGGTTAAGATCAAGTCTGAGGGCATAGGGGATTGAGGTTTGCTCCACTCAAGAAAGTGTGTGTGTGTGTGTGTGTGTGTGTGTGTGTGTAATTTAGGGGTTTCTATACATTGATGAGAGAGAATGTGATAGTTATAGGATGTCTGCATATGAAAACTGTTTACTCCAGATTTCACAGGTCACAACCTTTATGTGGTCACTGCCCCTACTAATAACCAGTCACATTGTTTCCCGGTAGTGCTTAGCAAACACTTCAGAAGCCCCCAGAAGCTGCTTCTGAAATGGACCCTGGTCAAATGTAGTGCACTATATTTAGGGAATAAGGGGCCATTTCAGACGCACCAACCTTCACCTCTGTTCCCCCTTTCTTCCCTCCTTCCATCCCTCCCTCCATCCAGTCAGTACTGTGTTCCGAGCCAGTACGACAGGCCCTCCTCAGCGCTGGTTCTGGACGCAGCTCGGGACGGGCACCCCTCCTCCCCCCGGCTCGTCCCCCAGCAGAGGGAGAGTGAGGAGTGGAGACGAAGACGACAGTCAGGGGCTGGGGGCTTCCCTTTCCCTGGAGCCCAGAGTGAAGGGGTACTACTCAAATCTCCCCAGGTACATGCATGGAGATGGCCCACATAATGATGCTGCTTGGAGTGGGACCATGGAAAGCATGTGGGGCTTGAGACATGAAGCCCTCAGCTTCACTAACATTAATGGCAGTAACATCTCTATGGCTACAGTATATAGTTAATGAGCACGTTTTTAAGTGATGCAAAGCACATTCCTGTGGAAACAGACAACAAAATGGAATCTCATCTTTTATCTTATATCTGTGGTGTTTACAGATTTCTCAACATGTTGTGTTCTTTCTCTGTTACTCTATTCCTCCAGACAGAGATCCGTTTCAGTGCCAGGGTGCCAACTCCTGGCAGGTATGTGTTTGTGGTCCACTACTGTCAACCTGAACACACCACCTTCCCTGTGGAGGTACAGGTGGATGCCGGACGCACCTGGGCCGGTGAGTTTGGTGCGAAATGTAGGTGTATAAAGAGGTTGGTCCAGATTGATATGGTTGGATAGAGAGTGTATATGATCCAGGCCCTTACTGACCCCGACGTCACCGTCCTAGATGTAATGAAATGGACATCTACTCAAAGAATGAATGTGATTATCAATTGTCATGAACATAGTAGCTAGTTCCATGTTCTATGGTAGTATGCTCTGGGAGAGCCTTTTTTTTTGTTTTGTTTTTTTCTCAACACTTTTTTTGTTGTTTTATTTTTACTTTTTTTGTTAAAAATAAATGCACTGTTGGTTAAGGGCTGTAAGTAAGCATTTCACTGTAATGTCTGCACCTGTTGTATTCGGCGCATGTGGCCAATAAAATTTGATTTGATTTGATGTGTTTTGGGGGGTTCTAGTGGTCCCTTTTAAGAGTAGATTAGGTATCTGACTCGCGCTCCACATGACAAGATTATTAAAGGCCTCAGACGCACTTCATCTGATAGGGAAGGATAACAGTGTGGCACAACTGATGTCTCCTCCTCTCTCTCCACCCCTCTCTCTCCTCTCTCTCTCCTCCCCTCTCTCACCTCACCTCCCCTTTGTCAACTCCCCTCTTTCTGCTCCCTCCCCTCTCTCACCCTCCCCTCTCACCTCCCCTTTGTCAACTCCCCTCTCTCACCTCCCCTCTCTCACCTCCCCTCTCTCTCCTCTCCTCTCCTCTCCTCTCCTCTCCTCTCCTCTCCTCTCCTCTCCTCTCCTCTCCTCTCCTCTCCTCTCCTCTCCTCTCCTCTCCTCTCCTCTCCTCTCCTCTCCTCTCCTCTCCTCTCCTCTCCTCTCCTCTCCTCTCCTCTCCTCTCCTCCCCTCTCTCTCCTCCCCCCTCTATCCTCCTCTCTCACCTCCCCTTTGTCAACTCCCCCCTTCTCCTCCTCCCCTCTCTCTCCTCCCCTCTCTCCTCCCTCCCCTCTCTCCTCCCCTCTCCTCCCCTCCCCTCTCCTCCCCTCTCCTCCCCTCTCCTCCCCTCTCTCTGCTCCTGTCTCCTCCCCTCTCTATACCCGCTTCCCTCTTTTTACTCCTTACTACACCTGCTCCACCCGCTTAACCCCCCCTCTCATCGCTCTTTCTCCTCCCCTCCTTCTACTCCTTGCTCTCTCCCCTCCCCTCTGTCCTCCTCCCAATCTCCCCCTTCTCTCTCTATCCACCCCCAATCCCCCCCCCCTCCTCTATGTCTACTCCTCCTTACCCCCTGCTGCACCCCCACCTCCCTCTCTCTACCCCAGGCTCTGTGAATGCCTCTTTCTGCCCGGGCGTCTCCTGCTGCAGGGAGGTGGTCATCGCTGAGAGGCGCATCGCTCTGGACCTTCCCCAGCAAGACATGGCCATCTCTCTCAAGGTTCCACCCGGGAAGACCCTCACTCTGGTCAGTTTTTTTCATGTCAGTCAGTCACTATTACTCTATCAATTAGCCTACTTACAGTTGATCATCATTGCCCATAATGTAAGGAGGAGAACAGACCTTCCTGGATTCAGGAAAACCTTCGCTCTAGGCCTATGTAGTTATGCCTGTAGTGTAATTCAGGAACATTTAGGAGCCAAGAATCTAGGCCTAGGGTATGCTGTATTAGACTTTTACCAGGTTTGCACGGTGCTGCTCTCTTGCCTCCGTGTTTTATCATGTCCCAAACAACTACTAAACAATCAGGGGCCTGTATTCTACCTGGCAACCCCCCACTCCGGCCAATTAGAGCTAAGCTCTCAAACCCAGTAAGACAGTGAAGCATACAGCTAAATTTGTATTTGCTGTAGGCTGTTTATTATAGCATAATTAACATACCCCACCGGGGTTGGGCTCAATTCCATTTACATTTCAGTCAATTCAGAAAGTAAACCAAATTCCAGTTCCAAATGTTCCTTATTTAAAAGCATTGAAAATAATTGGAATTGGAATTTCAGTGTACTTCCTGAATTGACTGGAATTTAAATGGAATTGACCTCAACCCTGTACCCCACATAGTGTCCCACTGCAGATGAGACCAACCACAAAACAGCTCAACGTATCACTGAAATACCCTGTCTTTTGTGTGCTTTTATCAATTTTGTCATTGTTAAATCTGTCAGATAAAACCGTTTCTTAAGCTATGATAAGTATCAAAGTGGGCGTTTCTGAGAGAGATAAGCCTACAACATTATCGTTTGGTTTTGAAGGTTTGTTTTGTACCACTTCTTCAGGATTATATCTTGGTGGTTCCTGACGATAGTTACACCCCTGATCTCCTGAAAGAGAAGCCGTTTGATAAGTCATCTGATTTCACCAGGCAGTGTGGAGGACAAAGCTTTTATATAGAGTGAGTATTCAGTTCAGTGACTTTGACCTAGCATAACAATGTGTCCTGTGGAATGGAATCAACAGCTTTGCTGAGTGATTTGAAGATTAGATAATTGAGTATGATTGATATTGTAGGATCATATTATGTTTATTTGAAACCTACGTTTTGGATATTTGAGGTATTTGCTTCCTACACTAATATTTCTCCATATTACCAACATGTCCTTCCTAGTAATCGCTCGTGGACTGGTTCTGCGCGTAAACCCGAATAATCTGTTGCGATGGAATGGAATGCGTAGGATAACGAGCAGCAGTAGTTCCAGTGTTTGGGTTTTAGTCACTAATTATTTGGACGTATCAGTATTGGGCGAAGCTGGTGCTTTAACTTAGACTACGGGTGTGGTGAAATTAGCTGGGGGGGGGGGGGCGGGGGGGTATTTCTTTAATTAATTTTTTAAGGGAGTAGTTTTTAATGTGTGGATGTAAAAACGATCAATAATCAGAGAATTTCATAACTACTTTATTTGACTGACCCTTGAATGTTCTCTTCCTGTTCCCACAGCCCCAGAACGTCCTCCCAGTTCTGCAGAGACTCGGCCCGCTCCCTGGTAGCAGCCTATAGTGACGGGGCCCTGCCCTGCTACTGTGACAAGTCAGGGGCCACGGGGCCCACCTGTAACCCTGTAGGGGGCCAGTGTCCCTGTAGGCCCCATGTCATCGGTCGGCAGTGTACACGATGTGCCACAGGATACTATGGCTTCCCCTACTGCAGACGTAAGTAGATTTCAGTTACTAAAATGTCAAACACGCATTGTTTCCTACCCTAACCTTTCTTTATCTTCTCCCTCCCAGCGTGTGAGTGTGGCCAGCGGCTGTGCCACGAGGTGACAGGTCAGTGTATCTGCCCGCCCCAGACAGTGAAGCCAGCCTGTGACGTGTGTGAGAGCCAGACGTTCAGCTACCACCCTCTAGTGGGCTGTGATGGCTGTGACTGCTCGCCCAACGGAGTCAGGCCCAACGCAGGAAGAGACTGTGACCGTGACACGGGACAGTGCACGTGAGTAGAGCTCTGTGTAGACTATACCCACATAACAAATTCTACAGTTTACTATAGAATACTACAGTACATACTATAGAATTCAGTAGTAAACTGTAATATACTGTATAATACTATACTACACACTGTAGTATCCCTCAATCATGTGTAGTACTTAGTATATAATGGTGTAGTATACTGTAGAATACTATAGTAAATACTACAATATTATTCACATAAAAAAAACAATGTAGTAAATACTACAGACATGTCAGCCAAAACACTACAGTCGGCAAAAACATATATATTTTTAACTATAGTAAATACTACAGTATTTCATTAGCATATACCGTGCCCATTCCCCTCACCCATGTCCCAACTTGTGCCACCCATATGTGAGAAACCTACATGCCAAGTATAGACCATATATTGTGTTCCCTATGGTTATAGATCTGAACTTTCCGTTCAGAACCTAGTCCTACCTACCTACAGGTTATGGAAAATTTGCTGTAGGTTTCCTAAAGGAGAAAGCCCCCCAATTCTATGTCAAAGATAATAAAACAAAAACACTTTAGTAAATACTACAGTAATGTCCCCAAAAACACTACAGTAAATGCTACCGTATACTACTGTCAACAAAAACACTATAGTATATACTACTCTTTTTTTACTACAGTATTTATACTATAGTAAACTGTAAATACTATAGTATACTGCAATAAAGTCAGCAAATACACTACAGGGAATAATATAGTATTTATACCATAGTATACTATAGTATTTTTTCATGTGGGTTGATTGTTGTTTTCTCATTTTGCGATTGTGCTGGAAGCCCTGTTACCATAGCGAGAGTATGATTTCTTTGAATTTTCATTGTTGCACATAAAATACGGTAAAAACACCATGAAATCAGTTGATTTTGGAAATCTGTTCTCAAGTATTCCCACGCGTAATAGGGAGACAAGTCATCATATACAAATATAAGCAAGATTTGAAATGATTATATATTTTTCAAATATTTTATCTGTTTGGGCTTCTTGCGGTCTACAAATTATTTGTAATTATGTTCCGGCCCCCAGACCATCCGCTCAAGAAAAAATCATCCCTTGGCTGAATCTAGTTGATGATCCTTGGTAAACACTATAGTATTTTTTTATGTAGGAAACACGACATAAGGTAAAGGTTGTGGAGTTTTGAATGAGATAACACATTTTAGATTCTCTGTATTTTTAGCACCTTTCCTCTTATAAGCATGGCCAGTAGCTGAATATTTGAACATGCTGTGGATGAGATTTCCAAGCACAATCATGTTAATTGTATGTCTATGCTCTGTGTGTGTGAAGGTGTAAGCCCAGGATCGGGGGGCGGCAGTGTGACCAGTGTGCTGCAGGGTTCTACAGGTTCCCAGAGTGTGTCCCATGTAACTGTAACCAGGGAGGGGTCACACCAGATGTATGTCACCCAGACACAGGACAGTGCCTCTGCAAGGTGACTTAAAGTGCTGTATGCTTTTAAACAAGAAATAATATTATTAGGATCATCTACATTAAGTGTACATTCGCAAATAGTGTGTTAAATCTACGTCTTTAACATGTCGACCAGACTTTTTCAGGGTCGATCATCTAATTTAGCCTCAAATAGTCTCTTCTGTAAAAAAGAAAACATGCCTGAGGGCTTCTGAAGTGTTTCACTACTGGGAAACAATGTGACTGGTTATTAGCAGGGTCAGTGACCAGATAAAGGTTGTGACCTGTGAAATCTGGAGTAAGCAGTAAGCAGCCGTATGTCCTGTTGTTGTAGAGGAACGTGCAGGTTGTCCGCTGTGATGCCTCTAGATAATGTTTGTTGTTCCTGTTGTTGTAGAGGAACGTGCAGGGTGTCCGCTGTGATGCCTGTAGAGACGGGTCCTTCCACTTTGACCCCTCCCACCCCAGAGGCTGCATCAGCTGTTTCTGCTTTGGAGCCACCAACCAGTGCCAGAGCTCTGGCAAACGCAGGGGGAAGGTGTGTGCATTTGTGCATGCGTATGTGCTTGCGCGCGCGCGTGTGTATGTTTATATGTGTCTGAAGTTTTATAGGCATTTTCATTGACACATTCTTTCCGTGCCATAGAAATGTGAAATGAGTTGTAATTATACTGTACCTGTTCAGACACATGATCAAACCCTTATCTCGCCAAATTATTCACGTTGAAACAACCAAGATTCCATAGAGTGGATATACCCACAGCTTTGCCAAACCTGCGGAACATAACCCCATTGCACTCCATTGCACACAGCATGCTATTATATTAATATGTACATAATGGCATTTTACCAAACCATAGGCCTATAATATATAGTACAATCCTCTTTCCCTCCGCCTCCACTAGTTTATGGACATGCTTGGCTGGCGTCTGGAGAGGGCTGATCAGGAGGAGGTGGCATCAGTCCTCAACCCGTCCAGTAACACTGTGGTAGCAGACGTACAGGAGCTGCCTGGCACTACCCAGCTCCTCCACTGGGTAGCGCCACCATCCTACCTGGGAGACCGGGTGAGTCGAGAGTGGAACTTGAGAGGATGACATGTACTTTTGAATAGAATAGCGCATTTAAAAAAAGAGGACATGTTTCCGTAATATTTGGAAGGTCTTTTTAAAAAACATTTGATCAGTTGTTATTTAGCTGTGTATTCAGTGACAAGTACAGGAGAAGGCAGGGCTTCAAGCAGCTGCCATTGAGCCTAACTACCAGTGCTTTTAACAGTTCTACACTGTGTCCTGAACCAGTCCCAGTGACTCTGACTGATAGTCAGGGTTCAGGAGTAACTGATTGCATGTAATCAGTTACATGTAATCGGATTACAAAAAAACTGTAACTGTAATCAGTTATGTTACCAGCAAAAATATTGTAATCAGATTACAGATACTTTTGAAAAACTAGATTAGTTATTGGATTACTTTTGAATTCAGAAAGGATGTTTGCGAAAAAATACATGATGACACCTTTCTGTTTTCTCAATAACATTCAATTCAGCATTTAAAAAAGGTGTAAGTTTGTTAAATTTGTTCCAGCTGAGTGAGTCTGAACACAAGTCAGAGACCACTATAATAACACACCAAATGTGGATCCTTTTTGTCTTCTTCTAACATCTCTTAAGGGGAAAGTCATCCAAAAGTAATCAGATTATGTTACTGTGTTTGGGTAATCCAAAAGTTACGTTACTGATTATAATTTTGGACAGATACCTAGCAACTGTAACGGATTACATTTAGAAAGTAACCTACCCAACCCTGCTGATAGTATTCCGCTCCTGTCTCAGGTGTCGTCCTATGGGGGCTACCTCACCTACCAGGCTAAATCTTTTGGGATTCCCAGTGAGGGGATGTCGCTGATGGACCGCAGACCTGATGTCCTGCTTAGTGTACGTACAGTATGACACACTGTATCATCACTCACTGCTAATTATGACATCTCTCTAATTGGTGTATAAGTCATATACAGTACCAGTCAAAAGTTTGGACACACCTACTCATTCAAAGGTTTTTCTTTATTTTTACAATTTTCTACATTGTAGAATAATAGTGAAGACATCAAAACTATTAAATAACACATGTGGAATCATGTAGTAAGCAAAAAAGTGTTAAACAAATCAAAATATATTTTATATTTGAGATTCTTTAAATAGCCACCCTTTGCCTTGATGATAGCTTTGTACACTCTTGGCATTCTCTCAACCAGCTTCACCTGGAATGCTTTTACAACAGTCTTGATGGAGTTCCCACATATGCTGAGCACTTGTTGGCTGCTTTTCCTTCACTCTGCGGTCTGACTCATCCCAATTGGGTGGAGGTCGGGGTATTGTGGAGGCCAGGTCATCTGATGCAGCACTCCATCACTCTCCTTCTTGGTAAATAGCCCTTACACAGCCTGAAGGTGTGTTGGGTCATTGTCCTGTTGAAAAACAAATGATAGTCCCACTAAGCCCAAACCAGATGGGATGGCGTATCACTGCAGAATGCAGTGGTAGCCATGCTGGTTAAGTGTGCCTTGAATTATGGTGGAAAATACACATGCGGAGACAATCTGTTCACCCACACCACGTCTCACAAAGACACAGCGGTTGGTACCAAAAATCTCAAATTTGGACTCCAGACCAAAGGACACATTTCCACCAGTCTAATGTCCATTGCTTGTGTTTCTTGGCCCAAGCAAGTCTCTTCTTATTATTGGTGTCATTTAGTAGTGGTTTCTTTGCAGCAATTCAACCATGAAGGCCTGATTCACACAGTCTCTTCTGAACAGTTGATGTTGAGATGTGTCTGTTACTTGAACTCTGTGAAGCATTTATTTGGGCTGCAATTTCTGAGGCTGGTAACTCTAATGAACTTATCCTCTGCAGCAGAGGTAACTATGGGTCTTCCATTCCTGTGGCGGTCCTCATGAGAGCCAGTTTCATCATAGCACTTGATGGGTTTTACGACTGCACTTGAAACTTTCAAAGTTCTTGAAATGTTCCATATTGACTGAACTTAATGTCTTAAAGTAATGATGGACAGTTGTTTCTCTTTTCTTATTTGAGCTGTTCTTGCCATAATATGGACTTGGTATTTTACCAAATAGGGCTATCTTCTGTATACCACCCCTACCTTGTCACAACACAACTGATTGGCTCAAACACATTAAGAAGGAAAGAAATGTTAATTGAAATGCATTCCAGGTGACTATCTCATGAAGCTGGTTGAGAGAATGCCAAGAGTGTGCAAAGCTGTCATCAAGGCAAAGGGTGGCTATTTGAAGAATCTCATATAAAATATATTTTGATTTCTTTAACACTTTTTTTGGTTACTACATGATTCCATATGTGTTATTTCATAGTTTTGATGTCTTCACTATTATTCTACAATGTAGAAAATAGTAAAAATAAAGAACAACCCTTGAATGAGTAGGTGTGTCCAAACTTTAGACTGGTAGTTTTTATAAGTCATGATGACTTCCTGTTTTGAGTAACCCAGTGTTATTTCTCTGTGAATTCCTCAGGGCCAGGAGATGACCCTGGTCCACATGGCCCCACAGACCCCTAATCCTGACAGACTCCACCAGGGAAGAGTCCAGCTAGTGGAGGTAAAGAAAACAGAGTTTTTCATACCTAAAAAGTGGTGAAGCTGAGTCCTTATTCCATGCTATCTGTTGTGAACAACACCTTTAAAACACATATAATAACATTTGATCTGTCCATGAAACATACGTTTCCAATCCCTCACCAACCGCTGTCTGTCTGTTCTGTTTAGGGGAATTGGCGTCACGCCGGCACCAACCGTCCTGTGTCCAGAGAGGATCTGATGGCAGTCCTGGCAGAGATGGTGGGTCTGAGGGTGCGGGCCCTCTACTTCACCCAGAGCCAGAGACTCAGCCTGGGGGAGGTGGGCCTGGAGGAGGCCACAGACATGGGGGCCGGGGGCCCTGCCAGCACCGTGGAAGAGTGTGCCTGTTCCTCTCTCTACAGAGGAGACTCCTGCCAGGTGAGACTCAGATCTCATTCACTCTTAGTCCCCTAGGTGCTTCATGTAGATCTACAGGGATCATATATAATAATTTTAAAGTAACCCAGTGTTTCCCAGTGCCCAGTGTTTCCAGATTTCTATGAAATATGACCTATACTTACTTACACTGAGTATACAAAACATTAAGAACACATGCTCTTTCCATGACATAGACTGACCAGGTGAATCCAGGTGAAAGCTATGTTCTTTTATTAATGTCACTTGATAAATTCACTTCAATCAGTGTAGATGAAGGGGAGGAGACAGGTTAAAGAAGGATTTTAAACCTTGAGGCAATTGAGACATGTATTGAGTGTGTGTACCATACAGAGGGTGAATGGGCAAGACAAAATATTTGAGTGCCTTTTGAAGAGGGTATGTTAGTAGGTGCCAGGCGCATCGGTTTGTGTCAAGAACTGCAACGCTGCTGGGTTTTTCATGCTCAACAGTTTCCCGTGTGTATCAAGAATGGTCCACCACCCGACATCCAGCCAACTTACATTTACATTTACGTCATTTAGCAGACGCTCTTATCCAGAGCGACTTACAAATTGGTGCTTAACTTGACACAACTGTGGGAAGCATTGAAGTCAACATGGGCCAGCATCCCTGTGGAACGCTTTCAACACCTTGTACAGTCCATGCTCTGACAAATTGAGGCTGGTCTGAGGGCAAAAGGGGATGGATGGGGGGTGCAACTCAATATTAGGAAGTTGTTCTTAATGTTTTCTACACTCAGTGTACAATATGATTGTAATAGTGTTCCTTCCAAAAAAAAAAAATTAAGTATGACAAAAAGCAGCTTTTCTGTGTTGGAATGGTGTGGGTTTACCCCAACAACAGAGTGTTGTGGGCGTATACGGTCATTAAAAATATTCATGCAAGTAGACCGCTGATTGGCCAACTCATCATCCTCAGGGAGATGACATCATGTTCTATGAGGAAATAGCAATAACTTTTTCAAAGTTTGAGGTGGGGTTTCTGAAGTGTTTATTTTCTCCAATTTATGCTTTGGCCACATACGATTATAGGACGAGTCAACAACATTATTTGGATATGAGTTAATAGTGTGTAAGGGCTGGGAGCTATGGCCTAGGGGTCGGTTTGGGATTGGGAAAGAGCGGGGGAGAGACGGAGGGAGAAAAGGATTAGGAGAAAGTAAGAGAGAGAAAGAAGAAGACAGGAGGGGCTGAGAGGGAGAGGTGTCGACCGACCGATCTAGTCATTTTCGAGAAGAGACGAGTGAGAACTCCCCTCCTCGCTGTGGGGTGTTTGTCGTGACACGCCCTAACAATGGTGCCACGCCCAGCCTGGGGTGAGTGAGGTCACTGGCAGGCAGAGGAAAAATCCATCAGCCCATCGAAGAGCCAACGGTTTAAACAAGCCTTTGTGGAATGTCCCGGAAAAAAGTGTGTGTGTTTCATCAGCCAAACCAAGTAGCCCGAGGGAGAGGGATAAGATGCACAATCATGCAGACATAATATTAAAGATTATACTACTGCTGTGAACCACTCCGCTGTGGCATGGTAACAGCAGTTAAAATCAAATACAATAACAAACATACAGTACATCATTTATAATGTTAGAACCTAATTCTTCCCTGAGGTTGTTTAGTGCGTGGGTGGGTCTCCTACTCCAATTAGGAAAAGTTGGATGGAAGCATTTTCCCCCTTAGAATCCACTTATTAAATTGAATGCTGTACATCACTCGACTGTAAATGTACGTATTTTTGGTATGGACAATTCCACGTTAACAGAGTGATGCTGACACTCAGATTTTTCCCTTTAAAATTGATGTCAAACAAAAACCAATGATTGCAAAGTTAAACAAACAATACAACTCTATGCACAAGGACAACTTTTAACAATTTCCACTGAAAAGTGCAGATGCAATGTTTGGTAACAGAATGACGGCACAAACCACACAAATCGTCATTCTGTTACCAAACTTTGCATCTGCACTGTTCTTCAAGTAAATGTGTTTTTGTAAAATGTACAGTGAATTTCTTTTTAATGATGCACTATGCAGAAATCGCAATTTTCTGGTTGCTAAACTTGTAATAGTTTGCTTAATTTCAGTTTGTGGGAAAAGAAAAAGCAAATATAGTGTACAGAATCATTGTACCATCTAAATCGCTGTGAAATATATTTTCCATAACCAAAAATATTGTATTTTCAGCTGTTTGTAGCTGGTGTACAAAAACATAAGTAAAAGACACAAAAACCAAAATGTAAGAACGGGAAGCATAGAAATAGCACACATCTACCGCTTCTTAGATCTGTAATTCACATCTCCCAAAAAGTTACATATTGGAGCCTTAAGTCGTCATTGTGCAGAGAGTTGTATGGTTTGTTTAACTTTGCAATCATTGGTCTCAGCATCACTTTGTTACCATGGAATTGCCCGTGTGCAACCCTTAGGGATGGGAGTTTGACATGCAAAGGAAGCTTCGATTTTGTTTCACTGGCAATAGCTTATTAACAAGGTCCTGATGACTTTGTAATAGATTTTCATTTGACTTCCCACATGAAAGAATACTACTGTTTACTATAAAATACCACAGTATTTACTATAGAATTGTGAAGTAAACTGTGGTATACTGTATAATATTATACCACACACTGTAATATCCCTCGATCATTTGTAGTACTTAGTATCGTATACTGTAGAATACTGTAGTAAATACTACAGTATTATCTGCAAAAACACCACTTTTTTAACAGTATTTAATTTATACCCTGCCCATTCCCCTCCCCCATATCCCAATTTGTGCCACCCATAAGTGAGATACCTACATGACAAGTATAGACCATATATTGTGTTATCTACAGGTTATAGAAAAGAGCAGAAGATCTGAACTATCCGTTCAGACCCCAGTCTTACAGGTTATGGAAAATGTGCTCTTTTAGTATTTCTCAAGTAGGTTTCCTCAAGTAGAAAGCCTCCATTTTAATGTAAAAAATAATCAAACAAAAACACTGTAGTAAATACTACAGTAATGTCCTCAAACACTAGAGTAAATATACAGTATACTAGAGTCCGCAAAAACACTACAGTAAATATTACAGTATATTACAGTCCGCAAAAACACTACATTATTTCTACAGTATATACTAGTTTTCTTTTACTACAGTATTTATACTATAGTTAACTGTAAATACTACAGTATACTGCAGTTTAGTCTGCAAAACACTACAGTGAATACTATAGTATTTATACCATAGTATATAATAGTATTTTTTCATGTGGGTTGATTTAGTTGTTTTCCCCATTTTGCGATTGTGCTCGAAGCCCTGTTACCATAGTGAGAGTGTACGTGTGTGTGAGACATCAACATCCTCTAGTCAGGTGTGTTCAGAGGAAATTGATAATATGTACCCTGTGGCGCTAGAAAAAGGAGAGGCGCCCTGACACATAGCCGGGCGTGGCATCTGGCAACCTGGGATGGTGTTACTCACCACCCCACACCAGATAGTACATACATACACTACCACACCCAACTGTCTCTACTGCATCGTGTTTAGACTGCATGATTCAGGTGTGACTGTAGCTTCTGCACTGTCTGGAGATTTCTGACTATTATTCACAGAACCACACAATCACCCTGGCATGCTCACACATATACCCTATGAACACATCTATAGACACACATTAACACACGATTAAAACCAAACTCACTCAGTCTCCCAGGTGGAGCCACACCCTAGCAACCTTTTTGTATGTGGATGAATAGGCTTATGTACATTCTGAAGATTTTCCTGTAGACCCTTTGTGTGTAAGTGAAATTGTATTTTAGGAAGTAGTTATAGTAATACATTTGTTTGGATGTTTGATTTTCAATAAAGTAAAAAAATAACTATATTTTCGAGGCTCCACATGTTGTCATGGAAAATATTGATGTTATTTCCAACAACCAATTAGCAACTCCGCCATAAATGCAGCTGCATATTGAACGTTGAGATTGCCGAAAGGCCAGTTTCTTGGGCAATGACATGGAGTGGCATGTTAGTTAAAAACACTGGTATGCAGACTAGACACATTCAATCCCCTCCTGGATCAAGATCCCTGTTGCCTAAATAGTTTTGTGCACTTCCGGTAATACCGTAAACCCCGGTATGGTACAGAAACGGTATGACGGTATGAAAATCTGGATACCGCCCAACACTAACATGCATGTCTGTCAGTGTGTGTGGGTGTTGCTACACTGTTCTAACTGCGTTGGTGACTAAGGCACTGTAGGTGAGTGGAGAAGGGGCGTGTCCTCTACGTGTGGGAGTGTGTGTGTGTGTGTTTAAGAGGCAGAGGCAGGGGAGAGCAGGGAGTTATTTCAGACTAAACGTGAGCAATGTCAGACACACGTGTACACAGACCCTGGAGAGGCAGAGGGACAGGCATGCTGCTTCAGACCCTGCTATGGGGAATCTTTCTGGGACTGTGCAGTGCAGGACACAGACCCATTAACGGGGAAGAGAGGAACCGCTATCCCAGACAGAATGACAGAGAGGCACAGAGGATACATTACCCTTCCATACATGACCAGGGAGGACAGAGAGTACATTACCCCTCTGTGAATGACCAGGGTAACCAGAGAGTCCAGTATCCTTCTGTGAATGACCAAGGACAGACTGTTCAGTATCCGTCTTTTGACGACCAAGATGCCAGCTCTCAGATCCAGGTAAAACGATGGATTTCAAGCCGAGGTCGGAAGTCTGTTGGGTTACAAATAGACTTACTGTAATGTATGTTTGGCTGCTCTGTGTACGAGGTAGACTTGTAGGATATCAGTTGACTTCCAGACCGTTATCCTATAGAGCAAAGGGTGTGTTTGGCTTTTGAGTGGCAGCGGTGGGTTAATGATGAATACACACTAGTCTTGTACTCAGCGTGGTGAGGTGACACACCCCACTCGGGATTTGGGACATTGTGAGATCAATCATTCTCTGTCGCTAGGCAGGTTAGCTGACACAAACTCAGCCTGTATCTCCTCAAACACTGCCACTTTGAATGGTTAAATGTTATTCTGTGTGGGAATTAAGTGTGTCGTTTTGAAATGTGTGTTTAGGATTGTGTTCTGTTTGTGATAGAACTCGTATTCATCCAGGAGAGTCCCATTGAGATAGAAATCACTTTCAAAATTCTGTTTTTCTGTGTGATATTGTTGTATCTATGTATTTGATGTGTCTGTATTAATGTCTGTGTGTTTCTCTGTTCCAGAAATGTGCTCGTGGTTACTATAGAGACGGCAGTGGGCCCTACCTGGGTCGCTGTGTGCCCTGCTTCTGTAACAGCCTCGCCAACGAGTGTGACGACAGGACTGGGAGGTGCCTGGTAAGATCTTTTATTATTTCTTATTGTTGTCGCATGATCGCAAGGGAACCTGCAAGTATAGCATTTCGTTGGACGGTGTATACCATGCGTATCCCGTACATACGACAAATCAACTTGAACGTACACAGTGGTTCTGAATAACAATCATTCAAAACCTGTGACTCTAAAGAAGCCCTAAATAATTCAGTGATAAGCACTTGTGCAACACCTACTATGTCAGTGACTCCATCAGGGTGATCCACAGCCCAGAAGTCATAGTCTAGACCTCACACCCATGCCACAGGGCTAACCACACTCAAGTATTGGATGATGTGGGTCTGCCTTAATAGATGTGATCATATATAAATGTGTTATGGGTCTACTTTAGCCCCTAGGGGAACCTTCCTCTTTCTCCCAGTGAAACTAGATCTCTAAAAGCCCATGCAGCACTCTATTCTCCTCTCTCCTTTTCTCCCTCTCTCTCTTCCCCTCTCTCTCTCATCTCCCTCCCTCTCTTTCTCTCTCGCTCTTTCTCGCGCTCTCTCCCTCCCTCCCTCTCTCTCTCTCTCTTGTCTCCTCTCATCTTACGCAAGCCACTCAAGACCAGGCCTGTGCCTCTATCTAGGCCTATGGAGTCCAGGCTGAAAACTCACTCTCTCTGTACCATCAACATCACTCTTTGGGATGAATTAGGACAGAAATGTTTGGCATCCCTCTCTACCATAAACCTTCACCCTCCATAGGAGATAAAAAAAGAAGTTACATAATGTAGCCTGTAGTTGGATCTACTCTGGGGTGGGGCATGGCAGTGTGACTATGTCTACAAAAGGACAAAGTGTATTTAGACTCACTATGGTATTTGTTATGGACTTTTCAACAACTTAGTGAGGCTATAGATTTTCTTTGTGACTTGGCTATTTATATACTCTTATTTTGATACTCACATGCTCTAGTCTAACGCATGCTTTCTACTCTTCCTCTGGACAGAACTGCCAATACAACACAGCCGGGGACAGGTGTGAGCGCTGCAAAGAGGGTTACTATGGAGACGCTGCCCAGAGATCATGCCGGGTGTGCCCGTGCCCCTTTAGTGTGCCAGCTAACAGGTCAGTGTCACCAAAGAACCAATCAGTGGCAAGGTCAACCATAGTAGATGCTCCTTTGGTGAAATCAATCCCTTGTACTGTATATCACTTACCGTGGTTGGCCCAGTATCTGAGTGTACCAAACAAACTCTTGTTTCTTCATCATTCCACTATAGTTTTGCGGTGGGTTGCAGAGAGGTTGCTGGAGGGTTCCAGTGTGTTTGCCGACCAGGCTACACAGGAGACCGTTGTGAACGATGTGCCTCTGGTTACTACGGTGATCCATTGACAGCCGGAGGAAGCTGTAGGCCTTGTGATTGTAGCGGTAACGGAAACAGCTGTGACTCCAGGACTGGTGGTGAGTGTGGATACCTTACTGAGATATGATGGCACATTCAAAAACTAGGCCCATTGTGTGTATTGGTAGAGCTTTACTGTCAGTTGATCTTTTTCTTCTTCAAAATAAATAAATGTATAATGTTGCTCCTTCTGCAGTGTGCAAGAATACTTTGGAGCCAGGGGACACCAACACAGATGAGCAGTGTCAAGGTTAGTGTCTCTGTTGTGACAGTGTGATGGATCCAATGAGAGTACAGTACAGTACATGGGGGTACCTACCTCATCATGATCAGCTGTTGATTACATTTGTCTGTGTTGTCAGAGTGTGATGAATGTGCCCTGACCTTACTAAATGATCTGGGGCGTCTGGATGAGGAGCTGGGCAGGATTAAGACTCAGCTGGATAACGCCAGTATCTCCGCCTCCTCTCAGGACCGACTCAAAATGCTGGAGAAAGCCATCACAGAGACAAAGGTATTATATTGGATATATTAATTGCATATATGTACTGTTACTGCTGTGGTGTGTACCACCCTGCCCTCTGGCTACACAGGCCACAGAAAGGATTGGAGAGGACTTCAAAGCATAGCAAATTACCTAAATACAGATACCGTGTGGACTGTGTCAATGCTCACACACACACACCAAACACACACACACACACAGAGCGGTAAAGGGTGTGTGCTTATTCGAACATTCCAGAATCCTGCTGATAAGCGATCTCAGTCAGTATGTCCCAGAGCTGTATGTCAACACATGTCAGAGCTAAACTCCCACATGTTTGGGATCTCAGCAGCTCATATGCTCCATACACTGTAAGCATTTATGAAACCAACAGGAGTAAACAAGTCACTCAATCAAACTCTCAAACAGCCTGAGGAGTCAACAACCAACCATATCCCATTGTACTGTAGCTCTCTCGCTCTCGCTCTCTCTATCCATCTCATCTGATCTGATCTGATAATAAAGCATTAAACAATAGACTGTGTGTTCCTTCCGCAGACTCTGGTGAACAAGTTCAGTTCCAGTGTGAACAGTCAGAAGCCCAAGGTTAGCCAGCTGGAGCAGGACAGTCTCAGTGTCAACGAGGATATCAGCACTCTCAAAGAAAAGGTACTGGACTGGAACTTTTCCTTCTTGGTGGCTTTTTTCCCCCTGTCATATGTGGGAATGTGTGTGTTCTATTTTATTTTAGGTGTGTTTATGCTGGCTTTGCAGAGCTCATGTTTGTGTCTATGTCTGTGTTGTCCATCAGGCAGATGACAGGGCTGTGGATGCCCAGAAAGTGCTGGATGATGTGGGTAAGACCCATCGGAGAGCTAAAGACCTGGACACTGAGGCTAAGAACCTGCTCGAGAAGATCCTGGGTAAACAACCAAGTCCTTGTTCGCTAACTCGCCTGTTCTCTATCTCTTTGTCCCCCTCTGTCTATCTAGCTATCTCTCTATCCATATTATCATCTTTCCTTTTATTTATTTCTCTGTTTTCGCTCTCTCACCCCTTCCCCCTCTTTTTCTGTCTCTCTGCCTCTCTCCCTCTGTTGCTTTCTCTTCCTCTCCCTCCCTTATATATCTATATATATATAAACCTGAATGTGTGTGTTGTGTGTAGTCATGCTGCAGCAGCTGAAAGAGTCTGGTTCCAGTGGTGATGTGGTGCCCAGTGAAAAACTGGCTAAGATGTTATCCGAGGCTGAACGCATGGTGAAAGAGATGGAGAAGAGAAACTTCAACCCCCAGAAAGACGCAGCCGAGAAAGAAAAAGATGAGGCCCAGAAACGTAAGACTTCTGCTGTATAGCCAAAACTCTTCAAATCCCTCAAAGCTTTTCTTTCATAAGATTAGAAGATCAAACAGTAACTCTGATGTTCTTGAACACGACCGGATTAGGTTGAGTTAAGATACAGATAAGAAGCATAATGTCACAATAACGATGTCTACTTTGTTTGATACCATCCGCAACCAAATCAAATAGTGAGCCTTTTTTATTTTCGGTCGAGAATGACAATTTCTATTCTGTTCTGTTCTATTCTATTCTATTCTATTCTCCCAGTGCTGGACTACATCAAGGCTAATGTGACCAAGCAGTATGATCAGAATGAGGCAGCAGCCAAGAGGGTGAAGGGTCTTCTGAAGGACTATGAAGCTAAACTGAAGGACCTGGAGGAGGCTCTGAAACAGGCTGGGGACATGGTGAAGAAAGCCAACTCTCAGAACGGACTCAACTCAGAGGCACTGAAAGACATACTGGTAATAATATAATTCACAGTATTTAGTATTTTCCTTTAACATGATGGTACTATGCAATCATGTATAGGCAGTTACTGTGTGCGGTAACCATGTTTATTGTCTTGCTATGGTTACTTCCTGGTTAGGGTAATCGTTTTTTATTTGTGACATATTATGGCAATAGGCCTAATGGGCTCTTAACCAAATTGATGATGTTTGTTCTTCAGAAACGTATGGAGGACCTGAAGAAAGAGCGTAAGAAGGTCCAGGACCAGATAGCCATGGCAGAAGATCAGCTGAAGAATACAGAGGACCTCCTGAGAATGCTGAATGACAGCAAGACTGTAAGCACACAGACCAGCCATGTAAACTGTATATTACCTCAAGTGCATAGTCAAATTCAATATACATATGTCAGTGATGCATCTTTCATCACTGGTACACATATGATCATAACTAGTGTAATGATACAGCCAATGTACACACCATATTTTGACATTACTTGAAATATAACAGCAGTTGCTCTAGATTCTCAAATGTTAGTCGTTGAGTCCTAACTTGCCAGCCTCTCAGATAACAATCAATGCTTGTGTTTGATATGACCTTAGGTAAAGAGGATGGTATGTCCTTGCCTGTATTTCCTGTACCCACAGTGGTTCTTCTGTTCTCTTCATTAGGGCATATGGTAACAAAACGTAGCAAAACAGTTTGCAACGGAAAGCAAACATTACCATTTGTTATTGGACAAGTCCAGGTAGTCCCTCCTTGTTTCAGTCTGTTTTCTTCCATTTGGTGCCTAATGAATATGACCCTGTTGTCTTTCTCCTCTCCAGGAGTATGAACAGCTAGCTGCCCAACTGGACGGGGCCAGGACTGACCTCACTAAGAAGGTCAACACCATCTCCCAGGCCGCGGCCAAGGAGGACATTGTGGTGCGAGCAGAGAAACACGCTGAGAACCTGGCCAAGCTGGCCAAGGAATTACAGGAGTGAGTTATAGGGACCTGGGATGTGGGGACATGTCCTCTTAGACCAGTGTTGGGATGGGTCCTGGGTTATGAGGACAAGGCAGTTTCTGCTTCTGGTTTCTGTAGTTTAAGCGCAATGGTCTCAATACTTTATTGTCCATGTTAGTTTCAGTGGGAATTTCTTTGACTTACATTTCATAAGCTCAGTCACAGGAAAGACCAATATAAAAAGAAAACCGATAATTCCTCAGCAGCACGTAATTAAAGATAAAAATAAAGTATCAACTCAAAAGGTTCCCCAAGCATAAACTACATAGTATTGAAGTAGTGTTAGTAGTGGTAGTTATGGTTCTTTAACAGGTAAGTTTATGTTGGGTGGTTTCCATCCTCAGTGGGTCGTGCCAGAGAGATCTGCCATCCGCTAGATCCCCCTCAGGCTGCATGTTTGTTGTTCCAGTTGGTTTATTGACATTTCTGAAAATCCAGATGCTTGTGTTTACATTGGTACTCTCTCTCTCTACCTCTCTTCTGTTCTCTCTTCTGTTCTCTCTTCTCCCTTCCTTCCTTTGTCTCTTTCTACCCCCCTCTCTCGCACTCTCTCTCTCTCTCTACCCCCCCCCCCCCCTCTCTTTCCTCCTTTCCCTTCTCTCTCTCGTCTTCCTATGTCATAGTGCTGTAAGGGACTCGAGTGGCCGCTCTGATGTGCGTGATGCCATAGACGCCATTGAGGCCTACAAGAACATCACAGATGCAGTCAATGCTGCAGAGAAGGCAGCCAAGGAGGCCAAGGATGCAGCTGACAAGGCCCTAAAGGTGAGTCCACAGTCTAGCCACTAGACCCATACCAGGGCGATATTAACTCCACAGCACCGAACTCTAAGCTGATGTGGCTTTGGTCCACCTTCTGTTTTAGCAATATTTTATTTTCAATCTAGGATGTGAAGAAAGAGGACCTGACACAGAGAGCTAAGAATCTGAGAGAAAGCGGGAATGACCTACTGACAGAAGCCAAGGATGCAGAAAAAGATCTCAAAGGTATGTTGCTATAAGTTGTAATATAGTTTTTAGAGTGCGTAAGGAGCCAACCAAAAACATATGGCCTAAATTGAATGGCATAGTTAAGGCTTAACTGAGCTCTGTTTTGACTCGACAGAGGCCTCTGATGACCTCACAGCCCAGAAGAAGCGCCTGAATGACGCAGAGAATAAGAAGAAAGCATTGGAGAAGGACCTGCTGGATGACCTGGCAAAGCTGAACAACATCCAGAGAGGTACATTGACTCGGGTAGTAGGAGGACCAGAGGTTATCTGATAGATCAGCTCAAATTATGGAACATTTACTGATCAATGGAAGAGCAAAATATGAGTTATGAGAGTGCTTTGATTTAAGTGTCATCATCCCCTCATCGCTAATCCCTCCTTCCCCCTCTCCTCCTTCCCTCCTTCCCCCTCTCCTCCTTCCCTCATTCCCTCTCGCCTCTCCTTCTCTCAGATGATATAGGATACATGCTAGATGAGGCGAAAAGGAAGGCAGCGTCCGCCAATGACACGGCCAGCACCACCATGGACAGACTGAACGCCATCAGAGAGGAAGTGGATAAGATCAACGTCATGCCCTCTGACTCCAACCTCGGCAGCATCATGGACGATGTGGACAAATCAGGTGAAGGATCACTCCACTAACCTATGTCTGCATAGGCTGGAGGGAATATTATACACCCATAGACAGGGCTTCCTTGTAAAAAGAGATTTCTCTCAATGGACCTCACTGGGTAAATAAAGGTGGAATAAATAAATATGACTTATCTTATTAAATGTTGTCTCTCTCTCTCTCTCTCTCTCTCTCTCTCTCTCTCTCTCTCTCTCTCTCTCTCTCTCTCTCTCTCTCTCGTCTCTCCCCCCATCCACAGTGAAGAATCTGTTGAAAACCATCCCGTCTCTGCAGGATAAGATCTTGGAGGTGGAGGATCTCAGCTCTCAGCTCTCCCCTGTCACCAATGTCTCTGATAACATCAAGAGGATCAAGGAGCTCATTGAGCAGGCTAGAGACGCAGCCAATAGGGTATGAATTTACCACCACACACACACACACACACACACACACACACACACACACACACACCCTGGGTCCTCACCCCACCAGATATGCCCACTGTGTAAAACCTGTTACCCCTTCTGCTGGCCATACAGTCTCTCCAGCAGTGAGTGCTGTTGAGAAGTAAGACGTTAATATATGGAGTCAGATTCATTTCAGTTTGAAGGATTGCAGGTTTAGATCTTGACAGAGCCCTTTGGGGAATTTGATGGACAGTTGTTATTCCCATAAAGGAGAACACTGATTTCTCTTTACACTGCTGGTCCCTTAGTAACCCTGTACAACCTCTCTCCTTGTCTCCTTCTCCTGTCTCTCCAGATTGTGGTCCCTATGAAGTTCAGTGGGGAGGGCCACGTGGAGCTGCGTCCCCCTAGTGATATGGAAGACCTGAAGGCATACACGGCCCTGTCCCTGTCCCTGCAGAGACCAGAGATCCCCAACAACAGAGGGGACGGAACACGCAGACGCAGACAGGCCACCACGACCACAGACACGGGAGACATGTTCGTACTCTACCTCGGCAACCAAGACGTGAGTGGACTGGACCATGTAGTACCTATTCTCCTAATGAAATAAAAATGGATGATATAGATTTGACAGTTTGCTTTTGGTTCAGAAAAGCTCTCTTTGGCACTTCAGTCGGCATTCTCCTAATACATGTGTATATTTCGCAATTGAAATAATGGCACATATAGATTTTGACAGTTTGCTTGTGGTTGGAAATGCTCCCACTGTCTGTCCTCACCTCTCTCTCCCACAGTCGTCTAAAAACTACATCGGCATGGCCCTGAGGAAGAATGTGCTGTTCTGTGTGTACAATCTGGATGGAGAAGAGTATGAGATCAAGACAGACTACATCACTAGGTCTCCCTCTGAGCCTTCCTTCTTTGACAAGGTGGACCTGCGCAGGTAAAACTATACCTTTGACCATCAAAAGTCTTGGGAAATTAGATTTGAGTGAGTAACCCTGATCTAACATTGACCTCTTACAATCTCTCAGAATTTACCAAGACGCAGAGGTGAACCTCACAAAGCTGTTCACATCCAACCAGCCGGACCCACCTCAGACCAGCAGGAAGCAGGGAGAGGTGACCAGGAACCTTCTAAACCTGGACCCTAGTGACATGGTCTTCTATGTCGGGGGCTACCCCTCCAACTTCACTGTAAGCACCTGACTTCATAACAAAATAATTGTATGACATTGACTGAAAATGACCTTTTTCAGTGACTACTGGAGGTGGCATTACGATTCCTGATTGAAGCATTTTAAACCATTTATTACATCTGAAAATGTTGTTTCTATAGCCTCCAGCCTCCCTCAACTACCCCAACTATAAGGGATGCATCGAGCTGTCCACCTTCAATGACAGATTCATCAGTCTGTACAACTTTAAGAATGCTGTCAAGATCAACCTGGAGACACCATGCAAGAGGTAAGCATCACACAAAGAGATTGGTAGAGCTACTCAAAGCCTAATGAGGTATTGATTGGAGATAATGCTCCTGGATCAGAGGACAACAAAGAATAACGGTCCCATAATCAATATTCCTCAGAGTCCTTATACAGTTAATCTCACCAGTCTATCACTTGACTGCTGAACATGTTAAGTGGCCTGCTAAACTGGACACTTAACTCTAGCATAGCGCAAGTCGTTCCTATTGAGTTGAGTGAAACCTGGGTGTTAGCAGCGTGGCTCTGTGAGCAGCAAAAGTACTCTCCAGTTCTATTTTTGTGTTTTCTGTTTTCCCGACCACCCAGTGTAGCTCCCCAATTAGTCTTGATCAAATCTTGAGTTTTACAGTCAACAACCTTAACCCTATTCTGATTGAATCCCTCTGTGCCCAGGTATATCCAACCAGTGGTGTTTGACTACTTTGAGGGGACTGGTTATGCCAAGGTGTCCACCGTAGGTGCTACAACGTCCACCCTACTCCTGGGCCAGACCATCTCCACTCGCTCAGAGAATGGGCTTCTCAGCTACATTGGAAATGAGGTAGGCTACTTACTCTGCTCACATTGAAACATTTGGTGTGGTAAAGTTGACAATGTACCATCGTTGACACTTGAGTAGCTGTTAGGTTTCTCTACTCTTGTCAGTTTGTCCACTGACTGTGTTTTTTGACATTACTTGTTTTCTTCTTTTCGTAGGACATCTACTACAGTGTGACGTTTGAGAGAGGCTACGTTGTCATCCATAGTAACCTGCTCAGTGAACCAGTACAAAGCGCTACGAAAGTCTTCCCAGTGGTAAGGCAGTTGGCGCTAGATAGATGATATTTGGTTATTTGTAGAATTTACATTGTTTTGCTAAAATAGTTCTCCCTGATTTTCCTTCTCTTTAGAATGCAGATTCAGCAGAAGTGTTGATCATCATCGAGTCCAAAGGACTCCAAGAGATGAAGATCCGTGTAGCAGGCGTTGAGGTGGTCAAGGCTAAAGTCCAGTACACCCCTGGAGACTTCACAGACTACTACATCGGTGGCCTACCACAAGCCCTGAGAGAAAGGTGGGTGCTTTTCACCCACTTACTAGGAACATTATTATTTGTATGTTTGGCTAATGTTTGGCATTACGATTTTGATGATCAAACTTAGCCTTATTGCTAGTACACTGTTTCTCTAACCCTACACCAGACCAGAGGAGTCTAAATGACATTGTGTTTGTGTGTTCTCGCTCACAGACACAACATCACCACCCAGCCACTGAAGGCCTGCATGAACAACATCAAGTTCAGCAGCAAGAACCCCACTTTCCAGGAAAAAGTGGGCATCAGCCGGGGCTGTCCCACGGACTTCCTGGTAAGTCTTCACCTTTTACTAAACCTTTTTCAAACATGGTCAATACTGTAAGTGTTGTCCACATCAAATCAATACCATGGCGTTATATTTGTATTCATACCACTATGATCTTCACTCACTGGAGACCTAGTTATACTGTCAGAAAGCCATTTATGTGTGTCACTACTGTGTATTTTGATGCCACCAAGATGCTGTAACTGACTCCAGTCCACTGTTAATAACCGCATGATAATGTCTCTGTGTTCCAGGCATCTCGTAAAGCAGAGTTTAACGTGGGCAGTTCTCTGTCAGCTGCTCTTAAAGGCTTCAGCCTGGCAAATGATGTCACAGTCTCACTGGGATTCAAGAGCTCTGAGAAAGATGGGCTCCTACTGCAGAACACTGAGTCGGTTAGTAGACTACACCACCTGTTTTTCTCCCTCTCTCACTCCATATTTCTTCCTTCAACTGTTGTTTTGACATTTTAGTTTTAGGATACAGCAAATGTGAGTGAGCTGACTGTTTGAAATTATATTTATCCTTACCTGGTTCTCCGACAGAGCATTGGCGCCATCGAACTTGCCTTGGTCAACGGCTATGTGGTTCTGACGTTCAAAGACAAAGTTTTGAGATCTTTTAAATCTAGCAAGCAGTACCAGGACGGCAAATGGCATTACCTGACTGCCACCAGAAGAGAGGCTTCTCAAAGGTAGAACATCAACCATTCAACATAGATTGGTAGAAGGCTATTAAACCCACAATTTACCATGATGGATTGGTGATGATTGAGACTTAGTCATTATTGTTGTGGCAGTACAGTGCACACTGGTTATACAGATTGGTAACCACAGACACATATACTGTAAAAAAGAAAAAGAAAAAAGTACCATAGATGTGAATGTATGTGCTGTGTTGCCCTACAGTATCGAGCTGTGGATAGATGAGGAGGATGTGGGAGGGCAGATAATTTCAGACTCCTTCGTGTCAAAGCCAGACTCTCTGTTCCTGGGGAAAGACACCTTCAAAGGCTGCCTCTCCAACCTCTACTTGAGAAGGTAAACTCACATCACTGTTTATTATTATAATGTATAACATTAGTCACAACACAGTAGTAATAGTTGTTAGATACAGTACATATGTAGTTATCATAATGGTTGTTGCTGTAGTTTTATTTATTCAACCTTTATTTAAGTAGGGAGTCATACTGAGAGCCTTTTGCATATGAGCCTTGCAGAATACCAAAAATACACACATCGAATATGAAATGCAACCAATACATAATAGCATAGCATAGCATAGCATAACTGGTAGAAGTTTATTTTTGTAGGAAAGGTTTCATGTTAACATCTGTGTTGCATTCATTGCTCACATTTGATAGTGCACTGGTGTCCTGATATTGATATTAGATGTAGTGTTACTATCCTGGTTGTACCCCCTCCTGAACGTTGCTCTGTGTGTGTTGTGTTGCAGGCCTAACGTTCTGTACAGAGCAGAGGACCTGAGTCAGTTCAGCTCTACAGGAGATGTGCTGCTGGATATGTGTAGCGCTGACAGACCTCCACAACTGATGCTCGACCGCAACACCTCCAGGAAGGTGAGAAAGAACATTGAACTCAGCTAGCCCAATTAACAATGATGAACATACAATAATGACTTACCTAACTGACGACTACCCTTATAACCAAATAACTAGTGACACTAACAGGAAAGCATGATGTTTTTTGTTTGCCATACCAATCACAATTATATTCATTTGTCCTTGTCCTAATGATGGAACAAGACTTCAATCCAAGTTTGCAAAAACACTATGCTATGATTACCTAGGAACAAGCCACTCATCACTTCCCATGCATGTTGTTGATAAGTTGTTCTGACTGTGTTGTGCTGCTTTGTTTCCAGAGATGAAGAGAATGAAGAGCTGCCGACTAATGAGGACAAATTGATATTGACATGAGCGATATTAGCATCTCACACATTGTTTGCACAAGCCCATTGCTATTGTACGTGACTGATAAACACATTACTGCATGGACATCCACATCATCATGACTACTATTATTAAATACAAACGATTAACTATTAAAAATGTTTATTTTATAAGCATTGTTTCACTTTTGATTTGTACACTGTTCTATCTTAAGCATGTTTCACGACAATAAACCACTTTTCTGACCAGTGATTCACAAGCATCTATTAACCCACTCATTAACTATCATCATCAGTCCATCAATCCATCTGGTTACAGCCAGCCTGATGTTAAGTCATTTCCTTGCCCTCACTCCCTCTCTGCTTTCCCTATTCACAATGACTAGGACCAATGAACTAATGAATGATCAATAGTCTATACTGAAATACCAGAACGATCATAATATGATAATATTATTATACTATGGAATGACTGAGGGCGTAGAATTGGAACGTTGCACTAGGTATTAATAATAATAATAGTTACGGCCTGTGAATACCTGAAGTGTATACTGGAACATTACACAGGGAATCTCTGAGTATTGGATAAAGCAGTGCATCATTGTTATGCATAAGCAGTGTTGGAGTTTGTGTGCATCATCGTCATGCATCTCTTACTGTATGCTCTCTCAAGCATTTGTACCTGAGGACAACCTTGGCCTGCATCCATCCAAATCATTTGATCTACTGTGACCTCCTAAGCCTCCTACAATAAATTAACCACGAAATGCACTCGGATTAACCAACCATCTCTTCCAAATGAAAACTCGGAATGACTAACATATTAGCACAACTGTATGTTAGGATTACATTGACCACTTGAACAATATAGGCTCCATTCATTGCAGATGTTGGTGGGATATTGGAATGGTGCAAATTATGAGTCTCTTGATTGCATGTTTATAAGCTACAGTGCTGTCAGAAAGTATTCACACCCCTTGACTTTTTCCACATTTTGTTGTGTTACAAAGTGGGATTTCATGAATTTAATTGTAATTTTTTGTCAACGATCTATACAAAATACTCTCTAATGCCAAAGTGGAAGAACATTTTTTACATTTTATTTTCAAATGTATGGAAAATAAAACACTATCTTGATTAGATAAGTATTCCATCCCCTGAGTGGATACATGTTAGAATTACCTTTGGCAGCGATTACAGTCTTTCTGGGTAAGTCTTTAAGAGCTTTGTACACTTGGATTGTACAATATTTGCCCATTATTCTTTAAAATATTCTTCAAGTCCTGTCAAGTTGGTTGTTGATAATTGCTAGACAGCCATGTTTAAGTCTTGCCATAGATTTCCAAGCTGATTTAAGTCAAAACTGTAACTGATCTACACTGCCAAATATACACTAGAGTTTCTTACCAAGATGACATTTAATGTTCCTGAGTTGCCTAGTTACAAAACACAAGGCCAAATATTATTTGGCCTTGTGTTTTAGGTAATTTACCTGCTGAAAGTTGAATTTGTCTCCAAGTGTCTGTTGGAAACCAGACTGAATCAAGTTTTACTCCAGGATTTTGCCTGTGCTTAGCTCGATTCCGTTTCTTTTTATATAAAACTAACGTCCCTGGTCCTTGCCGACGACAAGCATACCCTTAACATGATGCAGCTACCACCATGCTTGAAAATATGAAGAGTGGTACTCTGAAGTGTTGTGTTGGATATAACGCTTTTGTATTCAGGACAAAAAGTTAATTTGTTTGCCACATTATTTGCAGTATTACTTTAGTGTTTTATTGCAAACAGGATGCATGTTTTGGAATATTTGTATTCTGTACAGGCTTCCTTCTTTTCACTCTGTCATTTATGTTAGTATTGCGGAGTAAGTACAATGTTGTTGATCCATCCTCAGTTATCTTCTATCACAGCCATTAAACTCTGTAACTGTTTTAAAATCACCATTGGCCTCATGGTGAAAATCCTGAGCTGTTTTCTTCCTCTCCGGCAACTGAGTTAGGAAGGACACTTGTATCTTTGTAGTGACTGGGTGTATTGATACACCATCCAAAGTGTAATTAATAACTTCACCATGCTCAAAGGGATATTCAATGTCTGCTTTTTTTTACCCATCTACCAATAGGTGCCCTTTGCGAACCATTGGAAAATCTCCCTGGTCTTTGTGGTTGAGTCTGTTTGAAATTCACTGCTCGACTGAGAGACCTTACAGATAATTTTATGTATGGGGTACAGAGATGGGGTAGTCATTTAAAAATCATGTTAAACACAATTATTGCACACGGTGAGTCCATGCAACTTATTATGTGACTTGTTAAGCATATTTTTACTGAACTTATTTAGGCTTGCCATAACAAAAGTGTTGAATACTTTGACACATTTGTGAACTTTTCTAAAAACATAATTCCACTTTGACATTACGGGGTATTGTGTGTAGATCAGTGACACAATGTGGAAAAAGTCAAGGGGTGTGAATACTTTCTGAAGGCACTGTATTTGTTTATATGCATTTGTATTCATGCAAATACACTAAAGGTAAACAGATATTTTAACAAGTATACTGAGAACACACACTTGCACACGGAGAGGCACTTACAGCCGGCTTGTCCTCAGAAAGTATGTCAAATCAACAGCCACCCATACTGGTCCTTCCTTCCCTACCTTGATTGAGATACCCCCTATCACACATACTGTACCTAAACTGAAACAAACAATAACATTAAAGACATATCATGCCTCATTTGACAGAACTGGTAGTAGCATGTCATATTTGTGGAGGAAATATGACTTGTTATACATCTTTCACATGCTAGAGTATTATGAAATAGGCATTTGAACATGGAAACATACAGGTAACTTCCAAAATAAAGGAAATGCTTCAGTTAAGGAGGGATACAAAGTATATTGAAAGCAGGTGCTTCCACACAGCTGTGGGTTCTGAGTTAAGCAATTAACATCCAATCATGATTAGGGCAGTGGTAGTTCAAGTATGGGTTGCCAAATTGTTTTTATTGTTTTGTTTTTTTAACAAAAAAATAATAGTACAGAAATATACCGATTTATAAGGTTGCATCATCATTAGATTTGGGGGTGGGGTCGCGAGAAATTCTTGTGGAAAAAATTGGGTCCCCAGTCATTCTAATGAAAAAAAATGGGGTCCCCGCTAAAAAAGTTTGAATGCCACTGGCTTAGGGTCATGTATAAAAATGTCCAGTTGCCCATTATTTTGGATACCATGCCTAAAAGAAGAGATCTCTGTGTCTTTGAAAGAGGTCTATAAGAAGCATAGGGGGTTTAAAAGATGTGTGTGTCTCAGTCACCAGATCTCAACCCAATTGAACACTTATGGGAGATTCTGGAGCGACGCCTGAGACAGCGTTTTCCACCACCATCAACAAAACACTTTTTGAATAATGGTGTTGCATCCCTCCAGTAGAGTTCCAGACACTTGTATAATCTATGCCAAGGCGCATTGAAGCTGTTCTGGCGGCTCGCGGTGGCCTGTTGACCCCAAAATGGGAGAAATCTTTATCAGTTTGTAACTCCCAGAGGCTTACAGTAGATCACCAAAAGGACTAAGGAATGAGAATGGGCTCATACATGTTTACTATGGAACACTGAGACAAGACCTTGTTCCGTTTGCAGCGTGATTGACTTTGAGCTTTAATCATCAAACACAGTGTCATAGTTACCATAGCTCTTTATCCTCCAAACTTTGTCTTTGCATTTCAGAACCACTTCCCCAGTGCCCTGTTGGAGATCGGAAAACTATTTCCATAAATCCCATATATTCAGGCAATTTTCTCTAATATTGAGTTCCTGTGTCTCTGTGCCTGTGTGTGTTGTATAGGGTGGTGGTATGGAGGTGTCAGAGGACAGTCTCTCTGTGTGTGCACACCATGTTCTAGTCAAACATGCCTACCACATTGGGGGTACTGTGAGTAGCCTGAGCTACAGCCTCACTCCCCAGGTGCTCCAGCCCAGGTGAGTAGACACACACACTTTCTTTCTTTCTTTCTCTCTCCCTGGCCTGACTCCTGTGTCTCTCCACTAGACCTCATTTCTCCCTGGACGTTAGGACCAAGTCTGCTGAGGGCCTGCTGTTCTATGCAGCCACCAGAGGGGGGAGCTCCCACATGGCTCTCTACCTGTCCAAGGGCAGGATCAGACTGTCAGTAGGCAAAGGGAGGGAGATTTTCAACAGGGAGAAGTACAACGATGGAAGATGGCACTCGGTCAGTGGGTTACAATCTAAGAAAAATCTATACTCTGTGATGTTGTTTCACATCATATTATTCACAAACTATGGCAGTAGTTGATCAATGTTGGGGAGTTTGATGTTTCATGAGAGAAAATGTTTATTTGGAAACTTACCAAATCACTCTGCGTCATTACATTCAGTGATGCAGGATTGCACCAAGTCTGGGTGTCCCAGGGTCAACATTTTCACCATGCCCCTCTAAAAACAATGTCCTCTTTGGTGACCATCTTCCTCTGCAGGTAATATTCAGCCTAGAGAAGAAGAGGTTCCGGTTGGTAGTGAACGGGATTAGGGCTCAGGATGGACAGCTGACCAGTGATGAGGCCACGCCCATGGAACTGATCTCTCCTCTTTACCTGGGAAGTGCTCCTGATTCCTTGAACACAGAACTTAAAGTAAGCAATACACACACACACACACACACACAAACACACATACAGTACAGCATACACTCACACCCCAAAATTGTATTGTGTTTTCTCTTTACTTTCAGTGGAAGCTCCTCCCAAAGCAAAGTGTTTTTGGCTGTGTGCGTAACTTCAAGATGAATGGCACTCCCATGCCAGAGCCAACCACCAATCATGGTGCTGGTCCCTGTTTTGACGGACAGACACAGAGTGGGGCCTACTTCTCAGGGAGAGGGGCATATGTCATTATTAGTGAGTAGAAAGCTAAATATTGAGATTGGTAATATGGTGCATGATGAAGATGATGACTAAGATGATGATGATGATGATGTCTGCTCCAGATGATTCCTTTGTGGTGGGCTCCAGCTTTGAGGTGGTGTTTGACATCCGTCCTAGGAGTCTGACTGGTGTTCTGCTCCATGTGGGGGACTCCAGCAGGCCTCACAGTGGGCCCAGCACTGGACACCACCTCAGCCTCTACATGCACAGAGGAGTGGTGAGCCTGCTATGCAATGGGCTGTTAAGACTGGGCCTGACAGCCTTAATAGTGTTTCTCTAGCGCATGGTTCCTTGGACTATTTTGACCTTTCAAGTGCTAGATTTGACCTTTAAAACATGATTCCAGTTCAGGCTGATTTTAGGCAGAGTTTCCTTGCAGACACGTCTGTTGTGCAGTGTTGTGATGTACATGTGTTTTTCCAGGTGGTGGCACGGGTGAACAACGGAGCTGGTGAATTCAGCGTTTCCGTTCGCCCCAAGCAGCCCTTGTGTGACGGAATGTTCCACAGAGTTGCAGGTACACTTTTGTTATAACATGTTATAACTTGCCTCTGTCCTACACATGTTATAACTTGCCTCTACCCAACTAGCTAGCTACAAACTCACAGTAAGAAGTGTCTTTAATACGTAATAGGTGACGCCCATTGGGAATGTGTGTGTGTTTCTCGCCTCAGTGATCAAGAGGAACAACGTTGTGGAGATGCATGTGGACACTGAGGGTGAACACAAAATAGGACCGTCTTCCTCCTCCTCAACTCTGACCAAAGACCCACTTTATGTGGGCGGCATTCCAGGTTGGTACTCTGGAGGAGAGGTCACTGAATTTACAGCTAATTTAAAACTCTATCAGACCTGGAGTCCATTGTAATGGAGTCCCCCTTGTATTTTACACAAATAATAACCTATAGATCCTATTGGACAGTGAATGATGGATGAATCAAAGACATAGTCACATTGAATTTAGACTCCATCATTATTATGCCTCTTGAATACAGTACTGTATCTGTCTCTTCCTTGGGCAGAAACGTCCATGCACCCAACCCTCCCAGTCACAGGGTCCTTTGAGGGCTGCATCCAGAACATGAAGATCAATGAGGACCCGATCTCCTTTGAGAGGCTCTCTGGGGTATTCGGTCCACTCAACCTCAGAGAGTGTCCTGCTGGCTGAGTAGAATCTACTCCATGGCCACATCCACTGTCCACTAGCCGCTGCGTGCAATCTGTTACAAAAACAGAGAATGTGTGTGTGAGAGAGAGAGAGAGAGGTGTCACAAGGATAGTAAAACAAGGACAATTTGGACAAGTGGGGACATTTTGACAGTCCCCACTAGGAAAAATGCTATTTTTGGCTTAGGGGTTAGGTTTAGGTTTAGGGTTACTATTAGGGTTAGAATTAAGTTTGTGGTTACGGTTAGGTTTAGGGTTAGGAGTAGTTAGGTATAGTTTTAGGGTTAGGTTAAGGGTTAAGGTTAGGGTTGGATTTAGGGGTTAAGGAAAATAGTATTTTGGATGGGAATCAATGTTTTGGTCCCCACAAGGATAGCAATACAAAATTGAGAGAGAGAGGGAAGTTTGGCTCTTTTTACTGACTCAGATCTTTTTGACTCCTTCAGTCAAAAGAACGAATCTTTGGACTCATTTCGTTCGAGTCAGTAATGCCCAGAGCACGCAGGACCCCCTACCGTCGAACGATGAACTGAAAACTCGAAAGTCATAATTCTACAAGCTTCTCGTTCACACATCGTTTACCATACGGGGCTTATTTGTGACTTGAGATTTGTAAACGTGTGCTTTAAACAATGTACATTTGTTGATTGCGAGGCATACAAATAAGATTATTTCTTGATACATTTGAAACGAGGTCTAATTGTGGACACAACCGGACTATATTGTAAACGAATGTTGCATTGTTTGACTGCCGTGACGGTGATAAGCACAAAGTCGTTCGTGAAATGCAGCCCCCGAAATGATTCGTTTTCGAGTTCCAGTTTGTTAAGCAGAGGCTGTGTAGGTTTTGGTTCAACAAAGCTGTGCCCGTCATAATATTCAATAACATATTAATTGCATTAATTATTGCACCATGCGATCAATTATCAGTTCTAAACATGCCTTTTTCTTCTCTATGCTCATTATCAATTTGCCTACGCGCATAGTACAGACATTTGGTGCTTGGTAGTCGGAGCATGTCGCTGAGAGGGAGGAGCGTGTATTAAACCTGCTGTAGGACTCATTGCGGCCAGCAGGTCAAACGAACGACTAAAGTGAACGAGTCACTCAGAAAAATGAATCATGACTCCCGAGTCAGTAAAACGAGTCGTTAAAAAGTAACGAATCTTTCGCGAACTGCACGTCGCGTGTGCGTGCGTGCGTGTATGTGTGTTGTGACGTTCAAGCGGCGCAGGTATTCTGTATCAGGAACATGAAGATAAAGAGAGATGAGCTAGTCTGTAGTGTAGTATATTTATTTTGTGATAAATGTGTTTATTATCACCATCTTGTTATTGAATATATTCTAATATTGTAATGTTGTATCATCTGGGTTAGAAATGTCTGTTTTTCCCCCATTATGCTCTTCCTTTGTATTTTCTGTCCTCCTCCCCCATAGTATACAAAAGTTTTTCTTAGACTTTAGGGTGGACGTGGTGTTTGTTTGGTCAGTATTGCATCATGGCTACCATATAGGCTAAGCAACCCTGCACCTAAAAAAAAAATGCCATGTTGACCAGTTTAACAAAGAAAATGTCAGTCACAACAATTAACTCTACAATGGTATTACCATTTGAATTGTCATTCTGTATCTCTAGCGACATGTAACTATGAACTCATATTAAATGTTTGTATGTAGGGCCTACTATAGTTACATTTTGATATTTTATTTATGTGAATGTCGTCTGTTATCAGAATAATTTATAATCATCGATATTGATCCGTATTAGTCAATTATTGGTAAAAAGAAAGACATTTTCTCTCAATAGTCTCAAATTCTATTCAACCGAACTGGGGCCACAGACAAATGTACCAAAAAATATATATTGATAGTTTTCTCACATACAAGTATACTGAGCAAAAATATAAACGCAACATTCAACAATTTCAACGATTTTACTGAGTTACAGTTCATATAAGGAAATCAGTTAATTGAAATAAATAAATTAGGCCCCTTCTATGGATTTCACATGACTGGGCAGGGGTGCAGCTATGGGTGGGCCTGGCAGGGCATAGGTCCACTGACTGGGAAGCCAGGCCCAGCCCCACAAAAGGGCTTTATTACAGACAGAAATACTCCTCAGTTTCATCAGCTGTCCGGCTGGTCTCAGACGATCCCTCAGGTGAAGAAGCTGGATGTGGAAGTCCTGGGCTGGCGTGGCTACACGTGGTCTGCGGTTGTGAGGCCGGTTGGATGTACTGCCAAATTCTCTTAAACAACGCTGGAGGCAGCTTTTGGTAGAGAAATGAACATTACATTCTCTGGCAACAGCTCTGGTGGACATTCCTGCAGTCAGCATGCCAATTGCACGCTCCCTCAAAACTTAAGACATCTGTGGCATAGTGTTGTGTGGCAAAACTGCACATTCTAGAGTGGCCTTTTATTGTCCCCAGCACAAGGTGCACCTATGTAATGATCATGCTGTTTAATCATCTTCTTGATATGCCACACTCTCAGGCGGATAGTTTATCTTGGCAAAGGAGAAATGCTCACTAACAGGGATGTAAACAAATGTGTGCACATTTTAGAGAAATAAGCTTTTTGTGTGAATGGAAGATTTCTGGGATCTTTTATTTCAGCTCATGAAACATGGGACCAACACTTTACATGTTGTGTTTATATTTTTGTTCAGTATAGATATACTGTACCTCAGACTAAGCTTTGTATATAATTTTGTATAATACTTGATTACCTTTTCCCATAATTAAACACTTTGGTGCAGATGTTGTATTCACTCTTGACAGTTACATCAGCTACCATTTACTTTACACTTTGCCACCATTTATTGTACATGTATGCATTCCTGCCTTTTGACCACTGATATCATTCAACATTTGTGAGTGGGTTAATCATGTCTGTCCATCAGTCTTTGTTGCCTATTTATGTCAGTTGTAAATGCTTGTATTTGTTTTGAACTTGGTATTTATATGTCATGTGCAACCTTTGAATACAATAGCCTACAGCCCTCAACTCAACCTCGAAGCCAGTACTACTGCATATTTTCATTGTTCCCCTCTAATCAGGGACTGCTTTAGACCTGGGACACCAGGGGTGTGCAATTCATTATTAGGTAGAACAGAAAACCAGCAGGCTCTGGACCTCGTAGGGTATGAGTTGAGTAGCCCTGGCCTACAGCATAAAGCATGCCCTTATCCAATATTAGTGTTGCATCTTTTGGATATTAGTCTGTTAATTTTGACATTGCAAAGTAGTTGATATATAGAAAATAGGGTATATTTCCCACTCCCTAATGTTTTATATAAAAACATCTGCTTCATTTTCACATGTGAAATTTTGGATAACTAGCGCCTCTAAACACTATTTGCACCATACTATACGCTCATTGGCTGAATCACTGGCGGCAAGAATACCATTTTGCGGAGCGTTTCCATTTCCTCTATTATTTGGGAACGCACCCCAACACAGAGCGGAAGACAGACACAACGCTGCTGAAAACAATGTAAACCAAGTATATTCTTGTAGCTACCTCAAACACCTTTGATTAAATTAAACTATAATTTATGATAAGAACATGCGATAGAGTCAATTGTTAGTTCGAAGTGGGCGGTGAGCTACTTTATCAGCCCACTGTAACAGCAACGAGACGAGGTGCACCGCCTCCGGCTGTCACTTCCATTTCTCTGGTGTGTTGTGGTTCGGGAAATTGGTAAACAGTTGACACTAAACAGACGGGTTGTGATCGATGGCGGACCCAGAACCATCACGACAACATGAGGAGACAGAGAAGATTGACGATGCAGAGTTGGCATTTCAAGGAATAAACATGCTGCTTAACAACGGATTCAAGGAGAGCGACGAACTTTTCAGAAAATACAGGTTAGACGGTGCTGTGCCATAAACAATTAACTGAAATCACTGTTTCATTGGTTTATTGATGTGGGGAAGTTTTGAATTCTAGGAGCTATCCTTTAAGTATTTATGCTGTATAGTTTGTTATTTCCGGGCCCTATTTATTTTTTCAGATTGAGGAAGCCCACGTGGAACTGATTAGTAGGCCTATTGGGTATAAGCTAATTTGCATGGATGGAAAAAGTAATGTTACCCAATTGTCATACTTGAGTAAAAGTAAAGATACCTTAATAGAAAATTACTCAAGTAAAAGTGAAAGTCACACAGTAAAATACTACTTCAGTAAAAGTCTAAAAGTATTTGGTTTAAAATATATCAAAAGTATCAAAAGTAAAAGTATAAATCATTTCAAATTCCCTACATTAAGCAAACCAGACGGCACCATTTTCTTACATTTTTTTATTTACGGATAGTGAGGGGCACACTCCAACACTCAGACATAATTTACAAACTAAGCATTTGTGTTTAGTGAGTCAGACAGATCAGAGGCAGTAGGATGAGGGAATGTTATCTTTATAAGTGTGTGAATCTGACCGTTTTCCTGTCCTGCTAAGCATTCAAAATGTAACGAGTACTTTTGGGTGTCAGGGAAAATGTATGGAGGAAAAAGTACATAATTTTCTTTAGGAATTTAGTGAAGTAAAAGTTGTCAAAAATATAAATAGTAAAGTACAGATACCCCAAAAAACTACTTAAGTACTTTAAAGTATTTTTACATAAGTACTTTACACCACTGCTTATTTGTTACAACTCAAGAACTCATCAGTTTGCTACAATTGTTCTCATTGCAGCAACAATTTTAACTTGTAATAGGGTAAATCAATTGGAATTCAATAATTTTTTGACAGCACCCCTTTTGATTTGAACGAAGCCTGCCATACATACAGTATTTGCCCATTGTAGAAGTCCTCAGAAAGTGACTTTTTGGTGGAGTGTCAAAACATTCAAGAGTTAAGGGTGCTCAATGTTAACCCATTTTGCTTAGCCTACCACCCTCCCCCTTAGTGTAAATTATCTAAAAACGCGTAAACTATTTTTTTCTTCATATTCGCATATGTTGTAGTTTAAACCCTATTTTACATCTAACGTTTTTGTGTTGTGCCCGCCATCAGTTGAGACATGCTCTTGAATACAGGGTGGGTGTTTTGGCTGATAAATGTACTAAAATGGGAATACAATTGAAATGTAAACTTTCAAATGGTACCACAAAGATGGTTGGAGGTCCACACATCAGAATCTTGACTTGAATGGGAATATCTGTTTTAAATTATATTGTCTATCCTCCTTGGGCAACCTTTTGAAATCATATAAATATAGATAATAGAATAGACATTACCATTTAAGTTGACTTTCGACTGTGGGTGGACCGGCGGTCTTCTTTGTGGTAGTAATTAGAAGTAAAAATGTCAATACAATTTGAATGATGTAACAGCTAAATTGAAATGGTCTGAAGGGATAGGTCCATTCTATGAATTCTATTTCTATGATTGAAATGACACCCACCCTGTATTCAAAAGCATGTTGTCTCAACCGATGGCTGGCATAACAAAAAAAACTCAGATGTTTAAAAAAGGTATCATCTTCGTAAATTATATCATAGGTAGGACTGGTGGAGTTATGTCGCACATGCAGCTAACAAAAACATATGGAAATGTCTGGGTCCCGTGTAGCTCAGTTGGTAGAGCATGGCGTTTGCAACGCCAGGGTTGTGGGTTCGATTCCCACGGGGGGCCAGGAAAAAAAGAATGTATGCACTCACTAACTGTAATTTGCTCTGGATAAGAGCGTCTGCTAAATGACTAAAATGTAAATGTCTGCTCTACCCAAAATTACAACCAAATAATTGCAGCATTACCGCAAAAATGGAAGAGGAAAGTGGAAGGGGGGGAAAAGTAAGGAACTTGTCTGTCGGCCCTGCATTAAAGAACGTAATTGGTTAAAGAAATTTGTGATAAATAAAAAAGTATACCAGTTTCATTTAAGGACCAAAGGATTGACAGCCGTCCAATATAGATTGCGAAACAGTTGGGAAGAGATTTTTGACGTACCGATTCCATGGCATAGTGTTTATGAATTGATACGCAAAACGACGCCGGATTCAAAACTTAGAATTTTTTAATTTAAATTATTATACAAAATTCTTGCTACCAGAATGTTATTTATATGGGGGATACAATCTTCCCAGCTCTGTAGATTTTGCTGTGAAGAGACAGAATCATTTGATCATTTGTTTTGGTACTGTCCATTTGTAGCTTGTTTTTGGTCACAGGTCCAGGAATGGCAGAAGGATTGCAATATTTACCTGGAGCTAACCCTGCAGATAGCACTACTGGGTGATCTGAAAAGTTATAGTCAATCGATCAATAATATAATAATACTTTGAGCAAAAATGTTTATTTTCAATGTACAATCTGTAGAAATAATGAGAATAGATGGGTTCAGAACTTTTGTGAAACATCACAGTACAGTTGAAAAATATATGGCAAATAGAAATCCAGTACAGATGGTGTTAAGAGATAGATGGGAGGTGTTAAATGGAGCTGAAGGATGGGACTAATAACAACTAACAACAACTAATAACAACAAGATAACTAATGTAAAGCATACTGTGTCCATGATACGTATATAGGTTATAGGTTGAGAGCTTTTGTGAAAGAGCACAGTTAGAAAGATATGGCCATCATGAAAATGGTCGGAGAGGTTTAAACAAAATAGAATTATTGTAAAATTGACTGTGTCCATAACATACATATAGTATGTATAAGCTGGAAGTAGAGGCCTAAGCGTTGTTGTTTACTCCAATTAGGGAAGGGGTGGTGGGGTTGGAATGTAATAAAGGGAAATATATTTAAAAAAAGGATATGTATGTACAGTGGGGAGAACAAGTATTTGATACACTGCCGATTTTGCAGGTTGTCCTACTTACAAAGCATGTAGAGGTCTGTAATTTTTATCATAGGTACACATCAACTGTGAGAGACGGAATCTAAAACAAAAATCCAGAAAATCACATTGTATGATTTTTAAGTAATTAATTGGCTTTTTATTGCATGACATAAGTATTTGATACATCAGAAAAGCAGAACTTAATATTTGGTACAGAAACCTTTGTTTGCAATTACAGAGATCATACGTTTCCTGTAGGTCTTGACCAGGTTTGCACACACTGCAGCAGGGATTTTGGCCCACTCCTCCATACAGACCTTCTCCAGATCCTTCAGGTTTCGGGGCTGTCGCTGGACAATACGGACTTTCAGCTCCCTCCAAAGATTTTCTATTGGGTTCAGGTCTGGAGACTGGCTAGGCCACTCCAGGACCTTGAGATGCTTCTTACGGAGCCACTCCTTAGTTGCCCTGGCTGTGTGTTTCGGGTCGTTGTCATGCTGGAAGACCCTGCCACGACCCATCTTCAATGCTCTTACTGAGGGAAGGAGGTTGTTGGCCAAGATCTCGTGATACATGGCCCCATCCATCCTCCCCTCAATATGGTGCAGTCGTCCTGTCCCCTTTGCAGAAAAGCATCCCCAAAGAATGATGTTTCCACCTCCATGCTTCACAGTTGGGATGGTGTTCTTGGGGTTGTACTCATCCTTCTTCTTCCTCCAAACACGGCGAGTGGAGTTTAGACCAAAAAGCTCTATTTTTATCTCATCAGACCACATGACCTTCTACCATTCCTCCTCTGGATCATCCAGATGGTCATTGGCAAACTTCAGACGGGCCTGGACATGCGCTGGCTTGAGCAGGGGGACCTTGCGTGCGCTGCAGGATTTTAATCCATGACAGCGTAGTGTGTTACTAATGGTTTTCTTTGAGACTGTGGTCCCAGCTCTCTTCAGGTCATTGACCAGGTCCTGCTGTGTAGTTCTTGGCTGATCCCTCACCTTCCTCATGATCATTGATGCCCCACGAGGTGAGATCTTGCATGGAGCCCCAGACCAAGGGTGATTGACCGTCATCTTGAACTTCTTCCATTTTCTAATAATTGCGCCAACAGTTGTTGCCTTCTCACCAAGCTGCTTGCCTATTGTCCTGTAGCCCATCCCAGCCTTATGCAGGTCTACAATTTTATCCCTGATGTCCTTACACAGCTCTCTGGTCTTGGCCATTGTGGAGAGGTTGGAGTCTGTTTGATTGAATGTGTGGACAGGTGTCTTTTATACAGGTAACGAGTTCAAACAGGTGCAGTTAATACAGGTAATGAGTGGAGAACAGGAGGGCTTCTTAAAGAAAAACTAACAGGTCTGTGAGAGCCGGAATTCTTACAGGTTGGTAGGTGATCAAATACTTATGTCATGCAATAAAATGCAAATTAATTACTTAAAAATCATACAATGTGATTTTCTGGATTTTTGTTTTAGATTCCGTCTCTCACAGTTGAAGTGTACCTATGATAAAAATTACTACATGCTAAAAAGACTTCTACATGCTTTGTAAGTAGGAAAACCTGCAAAATCGACAGTGTATCAAATACTTGTTCTCCCCACTGTACTTCCTTAGCTTGAACTGTGTTTGGGGTCATTGCTGTGTAATAATTTATCTAATTCAACATATTTCACATGGACATGGTGACCATGTATTTAGTGATAGGAAATACAGTACCAGTCAAAAGCACCTACTCATTCCAAGGTTTTTCTTTATTTTTACTATTTTCTACATTGTAGAATAATGGTGAAGACGTCAAAACTATGAAATAACACATGGAATCATGTAGTAACCAAAAGTGTTAAACAAATCCAAATATATTTTATATTTGAGATTCGTCAAAGTAGCCACCCTATGCCTTGATGACAGCTTTGCACACTCTTGGCATTCTCTCAACCAGCTTCATGAGGTAGTCACCTGGAATGCATTTCAATTAACAGGTGTGTCTTCTTAAAAGTTAATTTGTGGAATTTCTTTCCTTAATGTGTTAGAGCCAATCAGTTGTGTTGTGACAAGGTAGGGGTGGTATACAGAAGATAGCCCTATTTGGTAAAATACCAAGTCCATATTATGGCAAGAACAGCTCAGTATAATAAAATAAAATAACCTGCAAAATCGGCAGTGTATCAAATACTTGTTCTCCCCACTGTATTTGTATGTGTATATGTATGTATATGACACAAGCCATATCTCAGACTGGCCAATAAAAAGAAAATATTAAGATGGGCAGTCAGAGATATGGCTTTTTCTTTGCAACTCTGCCTAGAAGGTCAGCATCCCGGAGTCGCCTCTTCACTGTTGACGTTGAGACTGGTGTTTTGCGGGTACTATTTAATGAAGCTGACAGTTGAGGACCTGTGAGGCGTCTGTATCTCAAACTAGACACTCTAATGTATTTGTCCTCTTGCTCAGATGATGTGGAGTCAAAGCTACAACATCTGCGAATATGAAGTTTTTAGATAATTGACATTAAAGGTTGAGTTCTTGTATCATGCTGAAGAGACATTGTCATTCAGTGTTTATTTGCAGTTCTCTCTAATATGAAATGTTTCCTTTTTCCCTCAAAGCAATGCAAAAGTGTTGACTCCAAGCACTTTTGCAATATGCTCATATCGTTATCAACTCTATACTGTAAGTTTGAGAGGATTGTTTTGATGAGCAAGCCAAACTGAACTAGGGCTATATCTTACAGGGATAATTGAAATTTAAAATAGATTTGGACATTTTTGCTGTAAAGCTGTACTTTATCAAAGAACCTGTTTGTGCTAGATTTTTAGCTAAGATCCCACACCAGTTGGGAAGACTGTTGCCATGTTCAGGACAACTTGGAAACTCAGAAATCTCAGACTTGGCAACTCGTTGTAGAAAGATGAGGTCTGAGTTTCCCACTTGGAAAGTATCAGAATTAACACATAAGAAGCTCTACGCAAAAAAACATATGCACATTTTATCTCTGAGTTTCCGAGTTGTCTTGAATGTGGCAAATGTCTGAGTTAGCAGTGGTTGGGTTGTAGGCCTATAGCATACAAAGCAGGCCACAACCATTCCCGTCATGTCAGTCATTGAATGTTCTTGTACTAAGGTTACACTCCGAGAGCAAACAAGTTGGTCTTCCAAAGCTGTTCACATGATTTACTAGTTAGCACCACCTCACTCGTCAAATATCATCGGCAACTAAATAAGTGGCATCATTATCCATATCTACAGTGCATTCGGAAAGTATTCAGACCCCTTCACCTTTCCCACATTTTGTCACGTTACAGCCTTATTATTACATTTATTTAAATTGTTATTTTTTTCTCTCATAAATCTAGACATGATACACCATAATGGCAAAGCAAAACAGGTTTTATATATTTTTTGCTAATTTAATAAAAATTAGAAACGGAAATATGACATTTACATAAGTATTCAGACCCTTTACTCAGTACTTTGTTGAAGCACCTTTGGCAGCGATTACAGCCTCAAGTCTTCTTGGGTATGAAGCTACAAGCTTGGCACACCTGTATTTGGGGAGTTTCTCCTATTCTTCTCTGCAGATCCTCTCAAGCTCTGTCAGGTTGGATGGGGAGCGTCGCTGCACAGCTATTTTCAGGTCTCTCCGGAGATGTTCGATCGGGTTCAAGTCCGGGCTCTGGCAGGGCCCCTCAAGGACATTCAGAGACTTGTCCCGAAGCCACTCCTGCATTGTTTTGGCTGTGTGCTTAGGGTCGTTGTTCTGTTGGAAGGTGAACCTTCGCCCCAGTCTGAGGTCCTGAGCGCTCTGGAGCAGGTTTTCATCAAGGATCTCTCTGTACTTTGCTCCGTTCATCTTTGCCTCGATCATGACTATTCTCCCAGTCCCTGCCGCTGAAAAACATCCCCACAGCATGATGCTGCCACCACCATGCTTCACCGTAGGGATGGTGCCAGGTTTCCTCCTGACGTGACGCTTAGCATTCAGTCCAAAGAGTTCAATCTTGGTTTCATCAGACCAGAGAATCCTGTTTCTCATGGTCTGAGAGTCCTTTAGGTGCCTTTTGGCAAACTCCAAGCGGGCTGTCATGTGCCTTTTACTGAGGAGTGGCTTCCATCTGGCCACTCTACCATAAAGGCCTGATTGGTGGAGTGCTGCAGAGATGGTTGTCCTTCTGGAAGGTTCTCCCATCTCCACAGAGGAACTCTGGAGCTCTGTCAGAGTGACCATCGGGTTCTTGGTCTCCTCCCTGACCAAGGCTCTTCTCCCCCGATTGCTCAGTTTGGCCAGGTGGCCAGCTCTAGGAAGAGTCTTGGTGGTTCCAAACTAATTCCATTTAAGAATGATGGAGGCCACTGTGTTCTTGGGGACCTTCAATGCTGCAGAATTTTTTTGGTACCCTTCCCCAGATCTGTGCCTCGACACAATCCTGTCTCGGAGCTCTACGGATAATTCCTTCGACCTCATGGCTTGGTTTTTTATATAGACAGGTGTGTGCCTTTCCAAATCATGTCCAATCAATTGAATTGACCACAGGTGGACTCCAATCAAGTTGTAGAAACATTTCAAGGATGATTAATGGAAACAGGATGCACCTGAGCTCAATTTCGAGTCTCATAGCAAAGGGTCTGAATACTTAAATAAGGTATTAATGTTTTTTTTTTGTAATACATTTGCCAAAATTCCTAAAAACCTGTTTACACTTTGTCATTATGGGGTATTGTGTGTAGATTGCTGAGGAGATTTTATTTATTTAATCCATTTTAGAGTAAGGCTGTAACATTACAAAATGTGGAAAAAGTCAAGGGGTCTGAATACCTTCCCGAATACCTTCCAAATCAGTAGATTTCTTGCCTCAGCTATAGTCTTGTATTGAAATTATCAGGAACGTTTCCTCTCACGACCTCTACAAGCCAGAATGTTGAATAAAATAATATTTTATCTTACACACGGTTATCCCGTGTGGTTGGTCCTTTTGCAGGTAGGAATGCATTCAGATTTCTATCACCTGAAGCATGCGAACAAGATGAAAATATGTGCATGAGATGCATGCATACTTGCTGAGCTCGTGCACGTGTTTACATGGTTCTGCAATATGCTTCAGGTGATAGAAATCTGAACGCACTACCAGCGCTTTGAAAAGTTGATGTAATTATACTTTCCTGTAGATATATTGTCTTAAATTCCTAACTGCAAAATGACCAACCACACGGATAACTGGCTTGTAGAGGTTGTGAGAGGAAACTTTCCTGATCCAAACACTCAATTATGCCCAATGTAGAATTAGTGCCTTCAGAAAAAAAAAATCCCTAGTCCTTGCCATGACAAGCATACCCATAACATGATGCAGCCACCACCATACTTGAAAATATGAAAAGTGGTGCTCGGTGTTGTGTTGGATTTGCCCCAGACCTAACTCTTTGTATTCTGGACATAAAGTTAATTGCTTTGCCACATTTTGTGCAGTTTTACTTTAGCACCTTATTGCAAACAGGATGCATGTTTTGGAATATTTGTATTCTGTACAGGTTTCCATCTTTTCACTCTGTCAATTAGGTTAGTATTGTGGAGTAACTACAATGTTGTTGATCCATCCTCAGCTTTCTCCTATCACAGCCATTCAACTCTGTAACTGTTTTAATGTCACTATTGGCCTCATGGTGAAATCCCTTAGCGGTTTCCTTCCTCTCCGGCAACTGAGTTAGGAAGGACGCCTGTTTCTTTGTAGTGACTGGGTGTATTGATACACCATCCAAAGTGTAATTAATAACTTCACCATGCTCAAAGGGATATTCTATATCTGCTTTTTTTTATGTACCCATCTACCAATGGGTGCCCTTCTTTGCGAGGCATTGGAAAACCTCACTGGTCTTTGTGGTTGAATCTGTGTTTGAAATACACTGTTCGACTGATGGACCTTACAGATAGTTGTATGTGTGGGTTACAGAGATAATTCCACTTTGACATTATGGGGTGTTGTGTGTAGGCCAGTGACATCCATTTTAAATTCAGGCTGTAACACAACACAATGTGGAAAAAGTAAATGGGTGTGAATACTTGCTGAAGGCACTGTAAATTAAATTCAACGTCGGGTTTCTAGGCTATTGGCACCCTTGCACTTTACAATGGAGTGCAATGGAACATAATGTTCTGTGTTCTCTTTTCAAAAATGGTTGAATGCTATTTTTACCCTGTAGGCACCTGCAACTTACCACAGGTGAAAGAAATTACGCAGTAAATGAGAATCAGCTACCTCCAGCCAAATACATTTGAATTCTTCTGAATTCTGAATAATTTAGTCCAGGACATTTTTGGGACTTTGAAGTGAAAAATACAGAGTAAACACAACAGGCTTAGATCCTCAAAGACACACACACACCCACAGCCTTGTCTCCTGTTGATAGCCTAAATGTCACCTCTCCCACTAAATATAATGAGCTCTGAGCCCTCATAAGAGATGGAGGGAACTGAAAGTTGACTCCCTCATCCATATTTCTATACTGTAGGCTTAAATATGAAAACATAAAATTCAAGGCTTCTACATTCTTGGAAGTGAATAACCATCCAGACTTTGAGACATGAATGCGACTACTATTAAATGTTCTCATGGAGCAGTCTTACAAATCATATTTAAGTAATTACTTTAGCCTGACTCTGCCACCTTTGATGGCTATCTTCAGACGCTCTGCACAAGGAAGCAATTCAGATGGTATTGCTGGAGGATACCTAAGTTTGACTTACTTGAAACAACTCTATAGCTCTCACCCCACATCACCCGTCCTGGCTGTCTCTCTTAAGAAATTGATCTAGATTTAGCTGTGCAAGCCCTTACCGCAACCATCTCCCTCTCTCTTCTAGGACCCACAGCCCACTGATGAGTTTCGGAGCCAGTTTTGTCAGCTTCCTGGTAAGTAGTGTTGGAGAGGAGAGGTCAGAGGATGTCAACTTCTTACTGATTTACTCTACGTCTCCCAAATTCAACTGCTATTCTCATTTGATACTCCTGCAATGCAGACCATTGGATTCTATTGGAGTTAAGAACAGGAGGAGGTTGATGTCTTCACTATTATTCTACAATGTAGAAATTAGTTAAAAAAAAAAGAAAAACTCTGGAATGAGTAGGTGTGTCCAAACTTTTGACTGGTACTGTACATAAACCTTGTCATAGTGCATTTGCGGTGCAGATTGGCTAAATTAATTGAAGGTCACACAACTAATAGCACACCCGGGATATCCTCAGCACTAGTCTTGTGCATCCACCGCTGCTGGCCCACATACTGAATCATCAATGATTCACCAATCTGATATAACTGGCTCACGGTGGGTTTGAATACTGACAGGCAATAAATGATTTGTGCACATCTTTGAAAATGATCACGGTAGATACAATTTTAGTCTGATAAGTCCAGGATGCATAGTTGATTGTCTAGCTGTGGTTTTCATTGTTATACAGTTGAGGGCAAATATATTGGCACCCTTTCATGATTCACTATTTCCTCTAAAATAAGTTGAAATTGAAAAAGGTTTTGGTGTTCATACGTGTAATATTTGATTTACAACTGCACAGGAACCCCCCCCCCCCCCAAACCCCTCCCCCCAAAAAAGAAATAATAAATTATATTCTGATTTTTTTTTCACTTCAACGTAAAACATTGGCCTGGACTAAATTATTCAACATGGAAATTATTTTGGTTGGAGTCAAGTGATTCTTGTTTACTGTGTAGTTTATCTCACCTGTGGTAATATAAGTTGCAGGTGCCTAAGGGGTAAAAAATTACCTTTCAACCTTTGTTGAAAAGCGAAAACACAACATTCCACTCCATTGTATAGTGCAAGGGGGCCAATATATTTGACCATGTGGCTATATGTCTGTTGCTGATAGGATCATTGTTTAGCCTACTTTCAAACAATAGGGTTGCTACATGATAAGGAGTTACGCCAAGACTACCATACTGTCTAGAATGAGAGAAAGGCCCTGACTGGTACTGTATGAATCTGCCTGTGTGTGTAGAATGCCATGATGACGTTTGAGGAGGAGAAGATGCAGACAGCCTTTGATGACCTCAGAGCCACTGAGAGACTTTGTGAGAGCGACAACGCCGGGGTCATCGAGACAATCAAAAACAAGATCAGGAGGAGTGTAAGTGAAGGACAATGCGTACACGCACACCTAATTAACCTCAGCGAAGCTCATACCTATTGACTGCATAGCACCTCACACCTCCTCTATCCACACACGCCTGACTTGTCTTACTGTCTGCCAATGTCAAGTTGACATCTTATCTCACAGTGCTGTGTTTGGCCTTGCACTATAATTTAGATGTTGACATCACCATGCTCTGTGTGTTTGGCCTTCCTCCAGTACCCCCAGAGGTCAGGGGTGGCAATAGTAGACCACCTCCAGAGACAGATCATCGTGGCAGACTGCCAGGTGTACCTCGCTGTCCTCTCCTTCATCAAACAGGAACTGTCAGGTGAGACGCCTCATCACTTCTACCTTGACCTGCATGTAGGCTTATAGCTGACTGAATGAACCATTAGTACTTGACGGATCGGCTGTGCTGCTACTACTAGACTGAATGACTGCACTGTGTTGTTGCTACTCACTGGTATGGTTTAGATCATAGCTCTGTTTCAATATCCACTCTTGCATACTGATTATAATGCATGCTCAATAAGTGGTTTGCTATAATGGACATTGGTATGTAGACCATGTCTCTCAGTACTCTAACATCCTGCTGATTTATATTATCTCTCATGGATTTCCCCTCTCCCAAACCCACCCAGCATACATCAGAGGAGGCTGGCTCCTCCGCAAAGCCTGGAAGATGTACAACAAGTGTTACAGCGACATCAACCAGCTGCAGGAGTGCAGCAAGAGGAGGTCCTCCGACCAGCTGGTGTCTCCCTCTCCATCCACTGACCAGGCCAACCACGGTGCGGCCATGCTCCCAACCCAGAGGACCAATTGGGTGAGCCCGGAGGCCCTAGCCCGGCTTAAGGGCTCGGTCAGTTTTGGCTACGGCCTGTTCCACCTGTGCATCTCCATGATACCGCCACACCAGCTGAAGATTGTCAACCTCCTGGGTTTCCCCGGCGACCGTCACCAGGGGCTGTCTGCCCTCGTGTATGCCAGTGAAAGTAAGGACATGAAGGCCCCCCTAGCTACGTGAGTAGGTGTACCACTACTGACCATAGAGTGTCAATGTTTTGTTTTTTTGTCTCGTGTGTTGGTTTATTATACAGTGGGGAGAACAAGTATTTGATACACTGCCGATTTTGCAGGTTTTCCTACTTACAAAGCGTGTAGAGGTCTGTAATTTTTATCATAGGTACACTTCAACTGTGAGAAACGGAATCTAAAAAAATCCAGAAAATCACATTGTATGATTTTTAAGTAATTAATTTACATTTTATTGCATGACATAAGTATTTGATACATCAGAAAAGCAGAACTTAATATTTGGTACAGAAACCTTTGTTTGCAATTACAGAGATCATACGTTTCCTGAAGGTCTTGACCAGTTTTGCACACACTGCAGCAGGGATTTTGGCCCACTCCTCCATACATACCTTCTCCAGATCCTTCAGGTTTCGGGGCTGTCGCTGGGCAATACAGACTTTCAGCTCCCTCCAAAGATTTTCTATTGGGTTCAGGTCTGGAGACTGGCTAGGCCACTCCAGGACCTTGAGATGCTTCTTACGGAGCCACTCCTTAGTTGCCCTGGCTGTGTGTTTCGGGTCATTGTCATGCTGGAAGAACCAGCCACGACCCATCTTCAATGCTCTTTCTGAGGGAAGGAGGATGTTGGCCAAGATCTTGCGATACATGGCCCCATCCATCCTCCCCTCAATACGGTGGAGTCGTCCTGTCCCCTTTGCAGAAAAGCATCCCCAAAGAATGATGTTTCCACCTCCATGCTTCACGGTTGGGATGGTGTTCTTGGGGTTGTACTCATCCTTCTTCCTCCAAACACGGCGAGTGGAGTTTAGACCAAAAAGCTCTATTTTTGTCTCATCAAACCACATGACCTTCTCCCATTCCTCCTCTGGATCATCCAGATGGTCATTGGCAAACTTCAGACGGGCCTGGACATGTGCTGGCTTGAGCAGGGGGACCTTGCGTGCGCTGCAGGATTTTAATCCATGACGGCGTAGTGTGTTACCAATGGTTTTCTTTGAGACTGTGGTCCCAGCTCTCTTCAGGTCATTGACCAGGTCCTGCCGTGTAGTTCTGGGCTGATCCCTCACCTTCCTCATGATCATTGATGCCCCACGAGGTGAGATCTTGCATGGAGCCCCAGACCGAGGGTGATTGACCGTCATCTTGAACTTCTTCCACTTTCTAATAATTGCGCCAACAGTTGTTGCCTTCTCACCAAGCTGCTTGCCTATTGTCCTGTAGCCCATCCCAACCTTGTGCAGGTCTACAATTTTATCCCTGATGTCCTTACACAACTCTCTGGTCTTGGCCATTGTGGAGAGGTTGGAGTCTGTTTGATTGAGTGTGTGGACAGGTGTCTTTTATACAGGTAACGAGTTCAAACAGGTGCAGTTAATACAGGTAATGAGTGGAGAACAGGAGGGCTTCTTAAAGAAAAACTAACAGGTCTGTGAGAGCCGGAATTCTTACTGGTTGGTAGGTGATCAAATACTTATGTCATGCAATAAAATGCAAATTAATTACTTAAAAATCATACAATGTGATTTTCTGGATTTTTGTTTTAGATTCCGTCTCTCACAGTTGAAGTGTACCTATGATAAAAATTACAGACTTCTACATGCTTTGTAAGTAGGAAAACCTGCAAAATCGACAGTGTATCAAATACTTGTTCTCCCCACTGTACTTCCTTGGCTTGAACTGTGTTTGGGGTCATTGCTGTGTAATGATTGATCTAATTCAACATATTTCACATGGACATGGTGACCATGTATTTAGTGATAGGAAATACAGTACCAGTCAAAAGCACCTACTCATTCCAAGGTTTTTCTTTATTTTTACTATTTTCTACATTGTAGAATAATAGTGAAGATGTCAAAACTATGAAATAACATTTACATTTTTAACATTTTAGTCATTTAGCAGACGCTCTTATCCACTCGGGAGATAGCACAGTGGCGCAGTGGTCTAAGGCACTGCATCGCAGTGCTAGCTGTGCCACTAGAGATCCTGGTTCGAATCCAGGCTCTGCTGTAGCAGGCTGCAACCGGGAGACCAATGGGGCGGTGCACAATTGGCCCAGCGTCGTCCAGGGTAGGGGAGGGAATGGCCGGCAGGGAGGTAGCTCAGTTGGTAGAGCATGGTGTTTGCAACGCCAGGGTTGTGGGTTCGATTCCCACGGGTGTGCAGTATGAAAAAAAAGAATAAAAAAAGAATAATGTATGCACTAACTGTAAGTCGCTCTGGATAAGAGCGTCTGCTAAATGACGTAAAATGTAAAAAATGTAAAAATAACACATGGAATCATGTAGTAACCAAAAAAGTGTTAAACAAATCCAAATATATTTTATATTTGAGATTCTTCAAAGTAGCCCCCCTTTGCCTTGATGACAGCTTTGCACACTCTTGGCATTCTCTCAACCAGCTTCATGAGGTAGTCACCTGGAATGCATTTCAATTAACAGGTGTGTCTTCTTAAAAGTTAATTTGTGGAATTTCTTTCCTTCTTAATGTGTTTGAGCCAATCAGTTGTGTTGTGACAAGGTAGGGGTGGTATACAGAAGATGGCCCTATTTGGTAAAAGACCAAGTCCATATTATGGCAAGAACAGCTCAGTATAATAAAATAAAATAAAAAAATGTATGCACTCACTAACTGTAAGTCGCTCTGGATAAGAGCGTCTGCTAAATGACTAAAATGTAAATGTAAATAAGCAAAGAGAAATGACAGTCCATCATTACTTTAAGACATGAAGGTCAGTCAATCCGGAACATTTCAAGAACTTTGAAAGTTTCTTCAAATGCAGTTGCAAAAACCATCAAGCGCTATGATGAAACTGGCTCTCATGAGGACCGCCACAGGAAAGGAAGACCCAGAGTGATCTCTGCTGCAGAGGATAAGTTCATTAGAGTTACCAGCCTCAGATTGCAGCCCAAATAAATACTTCACCGAGTTCAAGTAACAGACACATCTCAACATCAACTGTTCAGAGGAGACTGCATGAATCAGGCCTTCATGGTCGAATTGCTGCAAAGAAACCACTACTAAAAGACACCAATAAGAAGAAGAGACTTACTTGGGCCAAGAAACACGAGCAATGGACATTAGACCAGTCCAAATTTGGGATTTTTTGTTCCAACCGCCGTGTTTTTGTGAGACGCAGAGTAGGTGAACGGATGATCTCCGCATGTGTGCTTCCCACCGTGAAGCATGGAGGAGGAGGTGTGATGGTGTGGGGGTGCTTTGCTGGTGACACTGTCAGTGATTTATTTAGAATTTAAGGCACACTTAACCAGCATGGCTACCACAGCATTCTGCAGCGATACGCCATCCCATCTGGTTTGCGCTTAGTCGGACTATCATTTGTTTTTCAACAGGACAATGACCCAAAACACACCTCCAGGCTGTGTAAGGACTATTTCACCAAGAAGGAGAGTGATGGAGTGCTGCATCAGATGGCCTGGCCTCCACAATCACCCGACCTCAACCCATTTGAGATGGTTTGGGATGAGTTGGACGGCAGAGTGAAGGAAAAGCAGCCAACAAGTGCTCAGCATATGTGGGAACTCCTTCAAGACTTTTGGAAAAGCATTCCTCATGAAGCTGGTTGAGATAATGCCAAGAGTGTGCAAAGCTGTCATCAAGGCAAAGGGTGGCTACTTTGAAGAATCTAAAATCTAAAATATATTTTGATTTGTTTAACACTTTTTTGGTTACTACATGATTCCATATGTGTTATTTCATAGTTTTGATGTCTTCACTATTATTGTACAATGTAGAAAATAGTAAAAATAAAGAAAAACCATTGAATGAGTAGGTGTTCTAAAACTTTTGACTGATACTGTATATGTAGTAATCCTACCTAACGTAGCCTATACATGGACTAGACAGAAGTCTTGTAGTCTGATTATTTGGGAAGAGAAAAGAACCAGCAGGCCTGTGAGAGGTCCCTGGCCTGTTTCCCTTACATGAAGTATGGAGCTTCGCTGGCTCTGAATTTCAGTGATTCATATTGAACAACATATTTATTACTGGAGTCACCGCCATACTGATTAGAAATTATCCACTATTTGAATGGTGAATGTTTGATTCTACCCACACATCCACAGCAGAAGGCAGAAGACAGTGTGCGTCCCACATGGCACCCTATTCCTTCCGTAGTGCAATACTTTTGACCACGGCCCATAGGGCTCTGGTCAAAAGTAGTACACTATATAGGGAATAGGTTGCCATTTGGGATAAAACCACAGCTTTCACCAGACCTGAAGCCCATTAGCTCTTTTCCACTCTGCCAGGGGCCAAGATTAACTGCTTTAATAATAGAGAGAAGCTGGCCCTGGCCCCAGCCCTGGTTGAACTTGAATGCCTTGGCAGAGAACAAAGATTGTATTTATTTTAGGAGGACACATGTTCAACATTTAAGATAAGATTAACTTTATTGTGCCCGAAGGGAATTTTGTCTTGGACTTTCAAGTGCTGTTGCTTCCACATCTATGCTGCATGCAACTGTTGATTCTGCAGATTTTTGATTGATTTTGTTATCAGCTGACTTATCTGCTGAGTGTGGTAGCAGGCTGTTCACTCTCTGAACGCTGATGTTCACCGGTATACCTCTCTCACTGTTGTCAATAACAATGGTTTCTCTCCCCCTGTGGCAGGTTGGCCCTCTTGTGGTACCATACGGTAGTGCAACCCTTCTTTGCCCTGGACGGCTCTAACACACAGGCCGGTCTGATGGAGGCGAAGGCTATCCTGCAGAGAAAGGAGCCTGTATACCCTAACTCCTCCCTCTTCATATTCTTCAAGGGCAGGGTGCAGCGCCTGGAGGTAAGGACCTGGGCCATGTTCAGTAGGGAGAATTAAACAGGGTGGTTCAACCTGAATGTCTCCAATAATAACACCCATTTTCTTGTGCTGCGGTGTACACTACTTGACACGACCTAGATAGGAGTAGACAGACGCCACAAGGAAACCTGTGTCTACACCTGTGGCTGTAGTGTGTTCTTTGTCCTAATCTTCCCCCTCTCCTCTACTCATCCAGTGCCAGATCAACAGTGCCTTGACATCCTTCCAAAATGCCTTAGAGCTGGCTACAGACCAGAGGGAGATCCAGCATGTTTGTTTGTATGAAATAGGTACAATATGCTTTTCCTTCCTCAACTCTTAACGTATACAACACCATTACCTTGTTGTTCCTGAGTGACACTTCATTCTCTCTGCTCTCAGGGTGGTGCAGTATGATCGAGCTGAAGTACAGTGACGCCTACAAGGCCTTTCAGCGTCTGGCGACTGAGTCACGCTGGTCCCAGTGTTACTACACCTACCTAACTGGAGGTGAGAGGGCAGAGGTTAGAAGTCATGCAGTTAGAGGTGGGGTTAGAAGAACGCCCTCTTTTTTATTTTATTTTTTCTTCAAAAGTAAAAGAACTTCCAAAACTGGGAATGCTAACTCACCTGAATGAAAAGCTTCTGAACTATTAGCAATAATGGCATACATGCCCTGATGACGGTAATATGTTGGTGTTGAGATGCCCTGGACATCTCTCTGTGTTTGTGGTCCACTATAGTGTCCCAGGGAGCATCAGGAGATCTGGAGGGAGCTGCCGCTGTCTTCAAGGACGTACACAAGCTTTTCAAACGGAAGAACAACCAGATAGAACAGTTCTCTATGAAGAGGGTGAGCGTGGGACTGACAACAGCACATTTCTATAGATATATCAATGTGAATTATTACTTCTAGTGAGAATAAATCATTTTGCATTTCATACAGTTTCAAGGTGATCTGAAGTAATTGTATGGAGGAAAATTGGCAGTTGATTATTTAGTGAGTAGAATTCTGCTTCTCGACTGAGATGGTAAACGTGTGTGTGTGCGTGTGTGTGTGCGTGTGTGTGTGCAGGCGGAGAGGCTAAGGAAACACGCCCCATCCAGAGAGCTGTGTATCCTGGCTGTGATCGAGGTGCTTTACCTGTGGAAGGCCCTGCCTAACTGCTCCACCTCCAAGCTGCAGACCATGAGCCAAGGTACGCTGTGAAAACATACAGTAAACACCATACACAGACCACATCAACACAAACATAGACAGACCACTCATACATAGGGCTGTGGCGGTGATGAAATGTAATCTTGGCTTTACTAATATGTGAAAGTAATTTTGATTAGGCAGGGGCAGGGGGAAAAAATACATGTCATCTGTATGCACTCGAATAGCGAATGAAGGCTCCTGCGGTTCCTTTTTCAATCATGCCAGGTAGGCTACTCCGGTTTTACATCGGAGCGATGCGTTTAATATTAATAGCTCAGAAATAAATATAGTAGCAGCTGGGATCTTCCTCTTTTTAGTGGTAACCATCAAAACTCTGCTTTCACAGGATTGCATATAAAACTAAATGCATGTGCTTATAAGAACACTTATTTCACTCCACAAATCAACCACTGTTTGAGGAGCAGCCTCTCGCTGCGCGACAGGTGAAATTCTGCCCAAACTCTGCATACCATGGGCTCCCCAACCCTGTTCCTGAAGCTACCCAGTGCTTAATTTGGGAAACCGAGTGTAATCTGTTCGGGAACATTGATAGTAACATATTTTCATAACTAAACAAATGTGATTAAACTGTTGACAACCCCTCTCTGCACACTCGAGCAAGGAATGAAGGAGAGCGAGGAGATGGAAATGCACGGTGGTGAGAGATTCTGTAGCTAAATGTCAGCCTATTAATTATGAAAAGAAAAGCCCTATTTAATTTTGGAGTATAGGCTGTACCAAAGTGTGGTGATGACTCATGACTGCCGGTGTGGTGGTACAGTCACCGCAACAGCCCTACACATGCACATGATCAAACTCCCAGTCCCAACCACCACGGTTGCTACACATTCAATTATAGCCTATTCTCTTTTGGCTGTGAAGGACATCACACACAACACTTTTAGGATCTGCTACAATTTCAGGCAGCATGGTGATTGAGCTTTCGCTGAGTAGTTGTGGTGGTGCCATGAAAGTGAATTCCTGTGAATCTGGAAGAAAACTCAGTGGGTTGTTTCTGTCTCCTCATAGTCCTGCAGGAGCTAGATGACGTCTCATGTGCCGGCCTGAAAAACCTGCTCCTTGGTGACATACACAGATGTCTCGGCAACATGAACGACTCCATTCAGGTTCTGTCTCATCACCCTATTTATATGTATTGAAAACTAAGTACACACATAATATTTATCTGCAAATATGAATGTAGTCAGAATAGTGAATGTTTACTACTCTTTATTATGTCATTAAACATTGCAGTGCTTCCATCTGGCTGCCAGAGATGAGATGGATCGTCAGAACAACTCCTATGTGCAGCCCTACTCCTTCTACGAGTTAGGCTGTGTCTTACTGGACAGCCCTGAGGTGAGCTGTGTATATGGCATGTTGCTATAGTGTATTGTGCAAAATGTCAACCCTGAGGAGAGAAAGTGTATGTTGCTTAATGCAGTAGTTGATTGATGTTGTGGTTCTTCTCTTCTCAGTCTGAAGCGAAGGGCAGAGCTCTGATGCTCCAGGCCAAGGTACAGTAGAACTTCACTTCTACAGTATGGGCCAAGAGTGTATCCTCGTTTTTAGAAACGTGTAGCTTTCAGCTGCTGTATTTGGAATTATCAATCAAGTCTGACAGTCATCCATAATATGCATTTTAAAATATTTGTTATTTCCTTACCAGTATGTGCACTTGTGAATATTTGTATGTGATGTAGTAATGTCTTGTGTTTGTACAGGAGGACTATGCTGGCTATGACTTTGAGAACAGGCTCCATGTGCGCATCCATTCAGCTCTGGCTTCCATGAGGGAGAAGGTGACCCACCCTGACTGCCCCCTTTCTCCACCATACATCCACCCTAGCTCTGTGTTGGGGGTAGAAGGAGCTGGAAATGACTCCCTTTAGAGAAGCCATCTTGATCTCTACAGCACTGTGATGGTTCACTGCAATGTGTTTTTCAGTTGACTTGTGTTTTTTAAAATAATGAATGTGCCATCAAGTTTGCAATGCATAGTTTACAGCAAGAGTTTCCTGGAGCGATAGAGCAGGAATAGTTAAGACTACTGGAGCGTATTAGTGTGTTTTCAACCAGATCAAATATGTACAGTAGTTGTGGCTGGGAGGCAAATGTAACTTTTTACCAGGAAAAAGTATCAATGTCAGTGCTATCTAAATAGTACAATCATATCTTTATTCTTTCCCATGTGATGGGAAAGGGTTCAGATGCAGAACTGGGTATGCCATTGTGTAAGCCACACTTCATTATAAATTAATCAGTGAACTGATGCCACAAAATGTGCCATAGCAGCAACTACTGTCTAGGTTGCTGCCAGAATATGACCTGAATGTCCAATGGACCATTGCTGTTACAGTAGTAGACAATCTGAATGCACAATTCCTATGCTACTACTCATCACCTGGCCTTGTGTCACCGTAAATTGGAGATAATTGTTTTTTGTTTTAAAGTTCATTTCAACACATTTTGCCATGGGGTGTAGAGAAAATGTTGCAGTTTTAAAGGCCCAGTGCAGTCAAAAATGTTATTTTCCTGTGTTTTATATATATTTCCACACTATGAGGTTGGAATAATGTTCAATGCAATCTCTCTTCACAATCCCCAAGTCAAGAACATACTATGGGAGGCGCACAGTACTACATAGAGCCATGGCTGCCTTGGCAGCAGCTAATGGGGATCCTTAATAAATACAAATACAAATAATACTGTGAAATTGTGAACATGATGATAATACCCTTTTAGTGTAAGAGCTGTTTGAAAACACCGCCTGAAATTTCAGCCTGTTTTGGTGGAATTGAGTTTTGGCCTTCAATGGTGACAGCACCATGCGGTAAATGAGTTAATAGACCAATACGAAAGAGTTCCAAACCTCTGCCAATAACAGCACATTATCAGTTTTCCCCTCCCCACTTAGACCACTCCCAGACAGTCCTAACGAAATTCTTGCTTGAGAAATTGCTCTTTTTACATTTAATTATTTAAACAATCAAAGAAGTCTTTTTGACAGAATGTTTGACATTTATAATAAACTCATTGGTCATTTTAAACAAGTTTTTGAAATTTAATATTTGTGGCAGAATTGCAATTAAAAAAAAAAAAAATGCATTTTCTAGCCGTGGCAGAGAAAAAAATACAGTTAAGCTAATTTTGATTTCATCAGATTTGTCATGGGTGGGGAGACAAATTTTTCAATTTTACAGGCTAAAGTATTACACCCTTATACTACAATTTTTTTGTCTTAATGAGGGTTTATCTCACCATCTTTTGCAATTTGAAAATGTAATAAATTAATTACACAGATTCACCTGAGCATACATTACGTCACCTTGCAGGATTACAACGTGGCTTGCGTTCGTAGTCCTCTAAGATTGCCATCTAGTGCTATATTGCACATTTCTTTAATAGCTTCAACTCTGTAATTGTTTTGTTGTCATTCAACACCATTTTCCAAGTCTTGTATGTTATGTCTTCCCTATTTAACCCTCTGTCTCACACTGTGTGTTGTGCGTGTTTGTTCATGTTTTGGTTGTCGTTAGTGTGCGGGTTTGTTCCCTCCCTGCGTGGAGGTTGTTGTTCATTCTTTTACCTACGAGTAAAGTACGCCTTTTGATTAGCTCTGTGTCCTGCGCCTGACTTCGCCTACCGCATTACACTGACGCCTTGAGAGTTTTAAAGCTCATTTCCTGGAATTCTACACATTTTGTAATGACTTATGCCATGTAATATATTATCTGAGTGAGAATTACTAACAAAATCATTGTGGGCCCCCTGGAGGTCAGGATGCCTGGGCACGTGCCTTGCGTGCCTGGTTGGTATTCGGACAAGTTTAGATAGCTGGCTAGACTAACTAGTCACTAATTGAGTGACTGTAAATAACTGACATAAAAAGAGAAAAATTCCTGATGCACAATCAAATTTCGAAATTGAACCTGGTTCTTTAAAAAATTTACAGTGCCTTCAGAAAGTATTGACACCCTTTGAACTACTACATATTTTTTTGTGATACATTAAATATGATTTTTATCTCACCTATCTTTTTGCAAATTTATTGAAAATGAAATACAGAAATATAATTTACACAAGTATTTACACCCCTGAGTCAATACATTTTAGAATCACCTTTGGCAGCGATTACAACTGTGAGTCTTTCTGGGTAAGTCTCTCTAAGAGCTTTGCGCATCTGGATTGTACAATATTTGCACATTATTCTTTAAAATATTCTTCAAGCTCTGTCAAGTTGGTTGTTGATCATTGCTAGACAGGCATTTTCAAGTCTTGCCATAGATTGTCAAGCAGATTTAAGTCAAAACTGTAGTTAGGCCACTCAGAAACATTCAATGTCGTCTTGGTAAGCAACTCCGGTGTATATTTGGCCTTGCTTTAGGGAATTGACCTGATGAAAGGTGAATTTGTCTCCCATTGTCTGTTGGAAAGCATACTGAACCAGGTTTTCCTCTAGGATTTAGCCTGTGCTTAGCTCTATTCCGTTATTTTTTTATCCTAAATAACTCCCTAGTCCTTGCCGAGGACAAGCATACCCATAACATGATGCAGCCACCACCATGCTTGAAAATGTGAAGAGTGGTACTCAGTGATATGTGTGTGTGGTGTTGGATTTGCCCCAAACAAGCTTTGCATTCAGGACATGCATGTTTAGGAGTATTTTTTATTCTGTACAGGCTTCCTTCTTTTCACTCTTGTGATTTAGGTTAGTATTGTGGAGTAAGTACAATGTTGTTGATCCATCCTCAGTTTTCTCTTATCACAGCCATTAAGCTTTGTAACTTTTAAAATCACCATTGGCCTCATGGTGAAATCCCTGAGCGATTTTTTTCCTCTCCGGCAACTGAGTTAGGAAGGACACCTGTATCTTTGTAGTGACTGGGTGTATTGATACACCATCCAAAGTGTAATTTATAACTTCACCATGCTCAAAGGGATATTCAATGTCTGTTATTTTTTATTTTTTTAACCTTGTACCAATAGGTGACCTTCTTTGCGAGACATTGGAAAACCTCCCTGAACTTTGTGGTTGAATCTGTGTTTGAAATTCACTGCTGGCTGCCGGGGGCCCTAAGCGACTTGTTGTTGCTTATGCCTGGACCTGGTCCTGTAGATCATCATAGGCTTATTTCCTCGAACTAAAATATGTTACAACATTGTAACTGGTTTTTAATCAGTGGATTGATATTTAAAGGGAAACATACAAACCTATTCATATCAGTGTAAATACGTAACTGTACCTTAATTCTATGTTACTAGCTAAATTACATTTTCCTTTTGGCACTCACTTGTGGGTGCAACATGCACACTGTAGGCCTACTCTGCTGTACTTTTATTAGCTGAAAACTGGTTTTCCTTTGTTGAATAGGGGTTTTCTTGTATGTGTAAGATCATGTTTTAAAAGAAAATATATTTTAAATCGATGGTCATTTCATTTCCTTGACGTGTTTAAGATGCATGTACTGTATGTTGTAGCCTTATGATTTATTTATGATTTTTTTGGAAAGTGACAATGCACATCAATTAGTTTATCTCTAGCCTCTGGTCAGATATATACAAACATATAGCATCACAAACATTTCACATAAAAAAATAATTACAAGCAAGAAATAAAACATTATAATAAAAATAATGATTGACTGTGTGGTGTTCAGACAAGCCTACAGTAGCTATTGAAAATATCGCCAGTCAGACCATTACTCTGTTCAAACTGGCTGATAGGCATTATTAGATTGGTACTTTTTGCCGTAGCGCAGAGCATTTCCGACCAATTTTCTCAATCAATGGGAGAATATTTGAAATAGATGAATGGAGCAAAAATCGATTTAATTTAATAACAAAGCATTTTATAAATTTAAACGAACCCCCCTGCAACTAGACATGGACGTTTAGAAGACATTGGTTGTCTTCCAAGTCAGGAATTGAGGAAGTATTGCGAAGTTAATGTTTGGTCGAAAATTCTCTGCGCCATGCCAAACAGTAGTCTACCTAACCTGTAACGGCGAATGGAGCATCACTTTAGCCCGTTACAATCTTTTAGCTAGCCTACAGATAGATGCTTTACAGTTAAAAGTTAAATACACCTTTGCCGCACTAAGCGATAGTGATGGACATGTCTGTCGTTATATTATTTGATGTATAAATACTGGCATGATAAACTGGCAGATGAGCTTTCTGATAGTTGGATCAAATGCTACATAGTAGCAGGCCAACTGTACGTGTGCGTGAAAACATTATTTCGCGGCAACAATACACCTTCCATTATGACGCAATTATTGAGTGAGCATGATCATGTTATCGCTAGTATCTTTCATTTGTGCTCTCAGCGCATTGGACAATACTTGAATTGAAGTCCAACAAGAATTCGTTGGACGAGCACGTTCATTACATTTAGTAAGTAAATCAATATTTGAACGACTTTACTCTTCTGATTTGGAATTTCGTGCATCTACTCTTGTGTTCATAAGCAGCAAGATGCCTTATCCACATAGAGTGGTGACTATTCCCACGGGATTCAAGGACTTGCTTGAGGGAGTGAGCAAGGCTGTGGTGAAGTATCAACCTGAGAGTATTCCTGCCTTCGCAGCGGTCTTCTTCAATGCGCTTCTTATCTTCAGAGACGGTAGGCTATGCTGTGCCTGAATCACCTGTAGTAGACTACACTAGACTGATGCATGTTAATAGTTCTAGACACCTTTGTTTATTGACCTAATCACTTTGCATTGTGTTTCACAGAGAAGCCAAGCATGCCTATCCATGAGCTTATGAAAGAATTCAGGGCAGCAAAAGGCTCTCATTGTAAGTTACTTTATTTTTCTCATCATCTGTTTGTTGTTGTTGTGTAACAAAACAGGCCAATCAATTATAATCCTATCAGGGTTGTTGTTTTCATATTGTAAATCATAATGTGCACTTTTCAGTCTACAGGAACAAAAATAAAGCTGTAAAACCACAAGTAGAGCCGCAGGTCACTGTCCAAGGTCCTGAAACGTTCCCCCGCCACAAGCCACTCCTGGAATGGGAGGCAGGCCCGCTGCTAATGGAAGCTAGATGTGAGGATGTCAGGGAGCCTTTCTCCTTCATCTCTAGTGACCAGCCCTGCAGCAGCCAATACATCCAGGCTACGGATGCAGTGGCAGGAGCATCTACTGACAGTGACCAGAACGAGTGTGACCTGCAGGTCTCTGCCACCACCATCACACTGTCCCCAGGGCCCATCCCAGCAGACATTGCCCAGGGCCTGGCCCTGTACCGCCGCAAAATTGACCTAGAGTTGTCCCCCCGGGACTCTCCTCCACTCGGGGCGTCCGCCAACAACTACTGCGCGCGTGTCCGTTCGGCCCTCTTCGAGCGGGTCTCCTTCAGCGAGATCAGTCAGGAGTTGGATGCCGTGCTGATCCAGACTAGCATGCTCCCGTTAGAGTCCCTGATCATCGTGCAGACAGAGCAAGTACCCGAGATGATTGTGTTCCAGGCTCATCCCCTATTGGCTGAGAGCGCAGCGGCGGCTCCATCTCAGTGTTACGTCCCTGTCAGGTCTAAGTGCAGCTGTGCCTCGATGGTGGGCGCCCTCAAAGACGTGATGGCACCATTGGAGGTGCCTAGCTATCCCATCTTTGCATCCATCTGTGACATAGAAGCTCCCGTGGTGGAGAGACCAGATGCCATGGTCTCTGAGCCTGAGGAGTCTCCAGCCCTTGGAGACAAGGTTGTTCCCCTTGAGGTCCACTCTGCACCAGTCAAACCCCTGGAGATGACACCCTCAAGGCCCTCCATCCCAGTTACAACACCGGAGCTCCCTGGTTCAGCCCCTGCTGTGTCTGAGTCCCCTGCTTTGGCTGTCCAAGAGGTGCAGATTAGTGTGACCAATCGTCCTCTCTCAGCCATCCTACACTCCTTCTCTGGTGGAACTCCACCATCAGAGACAGCAGAGGATGTGATGCTGGTTCCTATGGTAGTGTCCCCTCCTGAACCAGTCAAAAAGGCGGCGAGAGAGTATTCTGATCTTCTATGTCCTCTTCCTGCAGCAACATTGGAGACTGAGTCTGTTAGTCTGATTTGTCCCCCTCCTTCTGCAGTGACTGTGGAGATCCAACCTTCCATTCTGGCTTCTCCCCTTACTGCTGCAACCGTGGAGACACAATCCTCCAATCGTATTTGTCCTTCTTCTGTGGTCACCATTGAGACTGAATTGGCGAATATCCTATCTCCTCCTGCTGCAGAGACAGAGGAGGCCGAATCTTCTGTTGTGACCTGTCCCCATACTGCAGTGACCGACGACATTGTGGCCCCTGTTTCTGTTTGCCTCCCTGTTGTGTCACTAGAGGAGACCAGTGTCCCCAGTGTGCAGCTCTCAGCTCCCACGCCTGCCTTGACAGAGGAAACTCAGTCCCAGTCTGCTTCACCATGCCTACCCACCCTCCCGGCCACAGGAGAGTCCAGAACCCCCTTCTTGGTCTACCTCCCACTGCCTGCTCCAGAGCTGTCCAAGACCCCTGGTCTGTTGTGCCAACTGGGCCTGGGACCAGAGGAGGCCAAGAACTTCCCTTTCCTGTGTCTCCCAATTTCTGACATCCCCAGGACCCCAAGTCTTGTGGCTGCCAGCCCGGCTCCAGCTCAGACTGTGGCTTCGGATTTACCAAGGACCAACCTCCCTGGAGTGACAGATATCCCCAGGACCCTGAGTTATGTGGCGGCTGGAGCTCAGGAACTACCACAGCTCCAAAGCTATGCGGCTTACACCTCTGAAGTCCAGGTGCCACAGAGGACCCCCAGCTATCTGGCTAACACCTCTGAAGTCCAGGGGCCACAGAGGACCCCCAGCTATCTGGCTAACACCTCTGAAGTCCAGGGGCCACAGAGGACCCCCAGCTATCTGGCTAACACCTCTGAAGTCCAGGTTCCACAGAGGACCCCCAGCTATCTGGCTAACACCTCTGAAGTCCAGGGGCCACAGAGGACCCCCAGCTATCTGGCTAACACCTCTGAAGTCCAGGGGCCACAGAGGACCCCCAGCTATCTGGCTAACACCTCTGAAGTCCAGGGGCCACAGAGGACCCCCAGCTATCTGGCTAACACATCTGAAGTCCAGGTGCCACAGAGGACCCCCAGCTATCTGGCTAACACCTCTGAAGTCCAGGGGCCACAGAGGACCCCCAGCTATCTGGCTAACACATCTGAAGTCCAGGGGCCACAGAGGACCCCCAGCTATCTGGCTAACACCGCTGGAGTTCAGGAAATACCACATAACCCCAGCTATCTGACGAACTCAGCTGTCTTCCAAGATATGTGCTTTATGTGCCCCTCCGTTACCGCCGCCAATCTGTCCAGGAACAATAGCTTTGTGCACTCTCCGGCTGCCATGGCTCCACAGGAGCAGATTAGGGGCCCATGTATGGTGTGCCGTCCCTTCTCTCTGTACCCCCAGGGAGGGCCTGGGATGCGCCACTGTACCCACTCCCCAGGGCAGTGTCCTGCATCTCTGCAGCAGCAGGCTGGCATGGCTCCGCTCAACCACGGACAGCAGACCAACACCAACTTCATGCCCCTTTGTTCTCAAGGGCCAAGTAAGATATTTAAATGTATTAATTGAATGTTCAAACCATTGCACTGAAGTTAATAGATTTTAGGTTTTGTTGTAAGATTCGCTGTACATTTGTTGGTTCATAGCTGTACACTTAAAGAAGGAATCCGCATTAGGGTAAACAGCACCACTGTCCACCGCAGCACCTTTGTTATTGTTGTGGTTTTGTGGACGGTGATTTGCATAGAGCAGTGCAACCCCAAAAAATTGCAGTACATATTCTGCTGTTCTATCGCGCTTACTATAATGTCTGAGGGAAAAAAACGGTGTTTGTTGTTTGCAGTAACTTCTTTGTTGTTGTAATATCCCAAATGGACGTGGCAGTTTCACCATTAAGGATTCCAGCTTTAACTCATCTATAGGTTATACCTTTACATTACAGACATAATATACTGTGGGATTTTTGTGAGACTGCCATCATGCCTTATAATTTATCTCTCTTTTCCCCCTCGATCTCCTCAGGCCCGTGTAGCAGCCTCAGCAGGAACGGCAGCCACTGGCGCCTCTGCCACCTGACGCGACCCGAGTCCCAGGGCAAGATGGGCGGCATGATCTGCCCCTACCAGAACTCCCTGACCATGATGCACTGCAACAGCCTGGATCACATGGCAAACATCCCCATGTACCAGGACTGTGGCCACTACTCTAGCAGCTACCACCTGCTGCCACCATGCTCCCAGTCGTCCCACGGTGGCCTGCACACCCACCACATGGCCGAGACCCGTTGCCCCGCTCACAACCTGGGCACCTCCTTCGTCCAGCCCCAGCCCCAGACCTGCTCCTCCGACCCCCTCTTCCACTTCCCCCAGCAGAACCACCTGGTGGCCACCCCCTCCCAGGAGAGGCAGCAGGCCCAGGCTCAGGCCCTGTGCCATCTCCAGTGCCCACTACTGCAGCAGCTCCCTGCTCTTGTGTGGGCACCAGGAGGAGCTGAGCAGGCTGGGCTCCTCCAGCTGTGTCCCTGCCACCAACCGGAGACTGAACCAGGGGGGGGTGGAGCAGAAGGACAACATACCCAGCTGCGCATCACTTCATAACAAAAGAATAGACACAAGCTCAAACAACAATCAAGGTAGCTAAACGTGTTGCCACTATGAAATGTATGGTTGTGTTTTAGATTTCATTTGGACTTTTTTATTGTCTATTTATGGATGAATTTCAGGGCTAGCATCCATGCCTACCATGTGGTTATTATTCAAACTTGAACATATGGTATTAAGTGGTTGAAGAAGCTATGTGTTATGATGTTATAGATGGACTATTCTCTCTTTTTTTTCTTGTCACAGGCTGCATCATGAACTGCAATCCCCAGGGCAACTAATCCTGTCTTCACATAAGAAGGGCCTAATTTTTGTAGTTGCCAATGTCTCTTTTGCATTCTTTTAAACTGATAATAATGAATAAATATACTTACATGGCATGAATTTTGAAAGTGTACAAACAAACCCTCAATCAATCACTACAAAAACATACAACTTAAGGTAATTGCAGCTATATAAAGGCAGTAGATGGAGGGTAAACTTCCACATTGATACAGAAGTTTGACAAAGCTTCAGTATTGGGTTGTTGTTTAAAGCTAGAATCCTTAGTTGCTACATCAATTTTTTTACTTATAAATTAATGATATACAGTTGAAGTCGGACGTTTACATAGACTTAGGTTGGAGTCATTAAAACTCGTTTTTTAACCACTCCACAAATTTCTTGTTAACAAACTATAGTTTTGGCAAGTAGGTTAGGACATCTACTTTGTGCATGACACAAGTACTTTTTCCAACAATTGTTTACAGACAGATTATTTCACTTATAATTCACTGTATCACAATTCCAGTGGGTCAGAAGTTTACATAAACTAAGTTGACTGTGCCTTTAAACAGCTTGGAAAATTCCAGAAAATGATGTCATGGCTTTAGAAGCTTCTGATAGGCTAATTGACATAATTTGAGTCAATTGGAAGTGTACCTGTGGATGTATTTCAAGGCCTACCTTCAAACTCAGTGCCTCTTTGCTTGACATCATGGGAAAATCTAAAGAAATCAGCCAAGACCTCAGAAAAGAAATTGTAGACCTCCACAAGTCTGGTTCATCCTTGGGAGCAATTTCCAAACGCCTGAAGGTACCACGTTCATCTGTACAAACAATAGTAGGCAAGTATAAACACCATGGGACCACGCAGCCGTCATACTGCTCAGGAAGAAGACGCATTCTGTCTCCTAGAGATTAACGTACTTTGGTGCGAAAAGTGCAAATCAATCCCAGAACAACAGCAAAGGACCTTGTGAAGATGCTGGAGGAAACAGGTGCAAAATAATCTATATCCACAGTAAAACGAGTCCTATATCGACATAACCTGAAAGGCCGCTCAGCAAGGAAGAAGCCACTGGTTTGCAACTGCACATGGGGACAAAGATTGTACTTTTTTGTCCTCTGGTCTGATGAAACAAAAGTAAAACTGTTTGGCCATAATGACCATCAATATGTTTGGAGGTAAAAGGGGATGGCTTGCAAGCCGAAGAACACCATCCCAACTGTGAAGCACGGGGGTGGCAGCATCATGCTGTGGGGATGCTTTGCTGCAGGAGGGACTGGTGCACTTCACAAAATAGATGGCATCATGAGGAAGGAAAATTATGTGGATATATTGAAGCAACATCTCAAGACATCAGTCAGGAAGTTAAAGCTTGGTCGCAAATGGGTCTTCCAAATGGACAATGACCCCAAGCATACTTCCAAAGTTGTGGCAAAATGGCTTAAGGACAAAACAAAGTCAAGGTATTGGAGTGGCCATCTCAAAGCCCTGACCTCAATCCTATAGAAAATGTGTGGGCAGAACTGAACAAGTGTGTGCGAGCAAGGAGGCCTACAAACCTGACTCAGTTACACCAGCTCTGTCAGGAGGAATGGGCCAAAATTCACCCAACTTATTGTGGGAAGCTTGTGGAAGGCTACCCGAAATGTTTGACCCAAGTTAAACAATGTAAAGGCAATGCTACCAAATACTAATTGAGTGTACGTAAACTTCTGACCCACTGGGAATGTGATGAAATAAATAAAAGCTGAAATAAATCATTCTCTCTACTATTATTCTGACATTTCACATTCTTAAAATAAAGTGGTGATCCTAACTGACCTAAGACAGGGAATTTTTACTAGGATTAAATGTCAGGAATTGTGAACAACTGAGTTTAAATGTATTTGGCTAAGGTGTATGTAAACTTCCGACTTCAACTGTATACCCATTGATTCTTGAGGAATATAATTTATAAATCCCTCTTGAGCTTAGTTCAACTGTCGTACCCCATCAGAACCCAAAATATAAGCTTGTTTTACTCCAATGTTTGTAAACAATGTAAATGTAAACAAACACTTTATAGCCTCCAAACATGGTTCAAACTATAATTTTGATATCATTGATGGTCAGTCCTTGCATCCATGGTTCTGTCTATGAATTTGAGAGTGGGTACAATTTTCCATGCCTATCTCTCAGCTTTTAACCAAAACAGTGGCGGGGTGGCCTTTGTTATTTTTTTTACTAAGGATTCTAGCTTTAGGACCACTCTGTTTTTTTACTATCCACATCTAATGAGAAGAAGTTAGAGTAACTACACCATATGTATTAGAGAAAAGGACAACAATACAGTAGGTAGAAAGTGATACATTGTAACATTTTATTTTGGCTATGTAGTGGTGGATGAGCTAAACGATGGAATCTCCACCACATGGCCCATGCCTGTCAGTTGCCACCACCACCAACAAGCAAAACTCTCCATGCCAGTGCCCACTGCCAGTTACCACCACCAACAACAAGCAACACTGTCAACACCAGTGCCCACTGCCAGTCCAATAAAAAGGGATTTCAACTCTACAGTCTGACCTGCAACCCCCACTGAGCCAAAGTACAGTCCACCCAATCCAACTGGGACAACAGCTGGTTCAGAACCAAAGGAGAGGGTCAAATCTCCCCCAACATGACAGCAGAGAAAGTAAAGAGTGAAATCGAACTCGACCAAAACAATGGAATTGCCAAGGAAATGCGTGTGGTAACGATTCCCGAATCTCCTAATTTCCCCCCAGCAAAATTAGCTATTGTTTATATGTCTATTTCACACTATGTTGAAGTAATAATCTGAGTATAATGAATGCTTGTATGGATGTCAACCCCAACACATGTTCATATCATCTTAACCAATCAACTGCATTACAGTTAAAAACGACTTTGACTATGCTGTGAAAATATATCAAAATAGGACTTAAGTAACCACATTGTGGGAATGTTACAATACATAAATCATAAGTCACTGTCACTAGAAGGCTACCACCCGGTTACTCTACCATGCACCTTAGAGGCTGCTGCCCTATGTACATAGTCATGGAACACTGGTCACTTTAATCATGTTTACATACAGTTTAACCCCCTTCATACGTACAGTGTATACAGTGTACTGTATTTCCGTCAAGGCCTATCCTATTCAACTATTGCTGTACATACAGTGCATTCGGAAAGTATTCAGATGCCTTGACTTTTTCCACATTTTGTTACGTTACAGCCTTATTCTAAAATCGATTAAATTGTTTTTTTTTTCCCCTCATCAATCTACACACAATAACCCATAATGACAAAGCAAAAACAGGTTTAGACAAAACTGAAATATCTCATTTTCATAAGTATTCAGACCCTTTACTCTCTGCAGATCCTCTCAAGCTCTGTCAGGTTGGATGGGGAGCGTCGCTGCACAGCTATTTTCAGGTCTCTCCAGAGATGTTTGATCGGGTTCAAGTCCGAGCTCTGGCTGGGCCACTAAAGGACATTCAGAGACTTGTCCCGAAGCCACTCCCCACAGCATGATGCTGCCACCACCATGCTTCACTGTAGGGATGGTGCCAGGTTTCCTCCAGATGTGACATTTGGCATTCAGGCCAAAGAGTTCAATTTTGGTTTCATCAGACCAGAGAATCTTGCTTCTCATGGTCTGAGAGTCCTTTAGGTGCCTTTTGGCAAACTCCAAGCAGGCTGTCTTGTGCCTTTTACTGAGGAGTGGCTTCGGTCTGGCCAATCTACCATAAAGGCCTGATTGGTGGAGTGCTGCAGAGATGGTTGTCCTTCTGGAAGGTTCTCCCAACTCCACAGAGAAACTCTGGAGCTCTGTCAGAGTGACCATCAGGTTCTTGATCACCTCCCTGACCAAGGCCCTTCTCCCCCGATAGCTCAGTTTGGTCGGGAGGCCAGCTCTAGGAAGAGTCTTGGTGGTTCCAAACTTCTTCCATTTAAGAATGATGGAGGCCACTGTGTTCTTGGGGACCTTCAATGCTGCAGAAATGTTTTGGTACCCTTCCTCAGATCTGTGCTTCGACGCAATCCTGTCTCGGAGGTCTACGGACAATTCCTTCGACCTCATGGCTTGGTTTTGCTCTGACATACACTGTCAACTGTGGGACCTTATATAAACAGGTGTGTGCCTTTCATGTCCAATCAATTGAATTGACCACAGGTGGACTCCAATCAAGTTGTAGAAACATCTCAAGGATGATTAATGGAAACAGGATGCACCTGAGCTCAATTTCGAGTCTCATAGCAAAGGGTCTGAATTCATATGTAAATAAGCTATTTCAGTTGTTTTATTTTCAATAAATTTGCAAAAATTTCAAAAAACCTGTTTTCACTTTGTCATTATGTGGTATTGTGTGTAGATTGATGAGGGGAAAAAGTATTTCACCGATTTTAAAATAAGGCTGTAACATAACAAAATGTGGAAAAAGTCAAGGGGTCTGAATACTTTCCGAATGCACTGTATACTATTCTTCAGATATACTACATATTCTATCCATATACTGTCCGTATTGTCTATACATCCCATCACATATATACAGTACCAGCCAAAAGTTTGGACACACCTACTCCTTGTAGAATAATAGTGAAGACATTAAAACTATGAAATAACCATATGGAATCATGTAGTAACCAAAATAGTGTTAAACAAATCCAAATATATTTTATATTTGAGATTCTTCAAAGTAGCCACCCTTTGCCTTGATGACAGCTTTGCACACTCTTGGCATTCTCTCAACCAGCTTCATGAGGTAGTCACCTGGAATGCATTTCAATTAACAGGTGTGCCTTGTTAAAAGTTAATTTGTGGAATTTATTTCCTTCTTAATGCGTTTGAGCCAATCAGTTGTGCTGTGACAAGGTAGGGGTGGTATACAGAAGCCATATTTGGTAAAAGACCAAGTCCATATTATGGCAAGAACAGCTCAAATAAGCAAAGAGAAACGACAGTCCATCATTACTTTAAGACATGAAGGTCAGTCAATCCGGAAAATG